AGTACCAGTATAAAGAATCCAACATACAGCATTTTGTAAGCATATGAGCAGGGAACTTCACCGTGTTCGTATCAATCAATTAAACAATGTTAGAACTTGACATTCTAAATACTTCTGCCAGCATTTCTGTAGTTTAATGAAATAATGCATCAGATCTGAAGAATATACATCAGTTGTATTCAGTAGGGAAGTCAAAGTGCTTGCAGATGTTGATAGATACATTTTATAGCATAATTTTTATTTAACACATAAGAAAAAATCTTGGTGTTAAATTTAGCAAATGGGTTTCCGTTATCAGAGATAGCATACCTGTTAGGTTTATTGAAGTCCACCTTATCCAATGGCTGACCTTTCCAAGGATGCAATAATCATTGGATGCAAGTTAGATAACAGTTGCTTAACTCCCAGGTGTCAATTTACTGCTAGGTAACAGCAGCATCAGGTAAGGTATAAGGAAACATAACTAAACATCTCATCCTGCATGGAAATTAAACTCAGGACTATTCAGCTGTGTGCAGACTGTTGATCACTGCAATGTGCCAAAAATGCATGCATAGTGATGGTTTTATGATTTGGTGCACGGCTATACTGAATCCAGGTGATAGTCTTTTTTTCACTTCCTTCATCTTTTCACGAAAGATGACCTTGTGAAGAGTCACGGAAATGTTGCATGCAAGATCTCCCAACATCAAAGCTAACTGAATTGTTGCAATAAATGTAATAAGCAATCTGCTATAATAAATTCTCAATACAAAATGCTTTTTTTTTTACAGTCAATGAAATCGGATTAACATCACCTCATAAATAATTGAACTGGGTGTGCTTCTATATTAAGCTATGAGATAATTCAGTCTCTGACGATTTGCTTCAACGACATAACACAATATAAATAATTGCTATTGGCCTTTTGTTAAGCTGTTCCCTAAATATGATACACACCTGATGTTCTTCACATTGTTCATGGTGGCTCACAACTGTAAACACAGAGGTTTTCATGTTTATATGAATGTGAAGAGTAATCTCAAGAGCCTATTACAAGTCACGTTTCCATAGCAACAATGAGACTGTCCCTGCTCACACACCTGCTAAACACCTTAGTCCTTTATACAAATGTTCTAAAAACCATATCCTAAAACTCTTAGATTGCTCTCGTATTTATGTGTTTAATATATATACAGTATATATATATATTTATGTACAGTACTCTATGTATATTTATGAATATATGTATGTATAGTAGGCATCCTGCAGTCTCGGGAGACTATGGAGTTGCGCTTTGGTTGTCGAGGCTGAGTATCCTCTCCAGGGCGCAAAACTAGTGTAGGTCAATATAGAGAAGCTGTTACCTATGCAGCAGGTCTTCCCTCTTCACGGTGCTGAAATTGTTCAATAATGAACCATCTAAAGGTCACCCTGAACTTTGCAAAGAAGTTCAACAGTGCTTCCTTACCACCAGTAAGGAATAACACAGCAAGGGTGCTCGAAAAGATCCTTCCAGTGAATGTATTTGCAGAATGTTGACTTTACTGATTTTGCATGCATAGGACCAGGAAGGATGATGCCTGAAAGAGTAGTAGAATAAAATAGATAAAATATATATACTGTATATATATGTGCAAACAAGCTTGAATGGTCCCCAAGCCAATAGGCAACTAAAAACTCCACGCCCCCAAAAGTGACTCGAACCCAGCCAGCCAGGAGCACTATGCAACTGGCGTACCTGGTAACTTGACCACTTGACCAAACGTGACCGTACAAAAGACATTGGTAGCCGGGGCTATATCCCCAACGTCCCGATGGCACTTGGTGGTAAGCTTGGGCATAGTTATTTCATCGAATCACCTCACTTTGTGGAGGTGATTCAGATGCATAGGGATATAGGATATACTGTATAGGGATATAGCCTCGGCTACCAATGTCTTTTGTACGGTCACAGTTGGTCAAGTGGTTAAGGTACCATGTACGCCAGTTGCATAGTGCTCCTGGCTGTCTGGGTTCGAGTTACTTCTGAGGTGTGGAGTTTTCAGTTGCATATTGGCTTGGGGACCAATCACCTCACTTTGTGGAGGTGATTCACAAAGTGAGGTGATTCAATGAAATAGCTATGCTCAAGCTTACCACCAAGTGCTGTCAGAACGTTGGGGATATAGCCTCGGTTACCAATGTCTTTTGTACGGTCATGGTTGGTCAAGTGGTTAAGGTACCAGGTATGCCAGTTGCATAGTGCTCTTGACTGTCTGGGTTCGAGTCACTTCTTGGGTGTGGAGTTTTTAGTTATATATGTATGTATATTATATATTTATGTTATCTATTTTATTCTACTACTCTTTCAGGCAACATCGTTCCTGGTCCTATACATGCAAAGTCAGGAGACATCAACATTCTGCAAATACATACACTGGAAGGATCTTTTCACCTTGCTTTGTTATTCCTTTCTGGTGGTAAGAAAGCACTGTTGAACTTCTTTGCCCAGTTCAGGGTAATCTTTAGATGGTTCATTATAAACACTCGAGCTCTTCCAAACTTGGCATCATCGAGACCACCAGGTAGTGAGTTTGCAAGATTAACCTTCATATGTGCCTAGTGTGTCATGTGGGCTGTGATCTTGTTGGAGCCCGTCTTGGAAGCTGGCTGCTTATGACGCAGCGGCTAAGTTATTCTCTCATGTGCAAAAATATCAGCAAAGGACCTCTTAGTTCTTGGCTTTTGCACAGGCACTGTAGTGGGTTGCCTCCTTGGGATGATTAGTTGGTAATCAAGGAACCACTCTAAGCTTAACAGGCTCGCTGTCCCTGACATTAGGAAAAGCCAAATCCTCAGGATGGGAAGAGTTCCTTTTCCTTTCCTCTGGTTACAGGTCCTAGAAGACTGAGTCATCTCTTGTGCAGGTGCTTATGGAAGAGGGTTTGGAGGCCGAGATCACTGTTCTTCCTTTCTCTCCTGGGAGTTTGATCGAGAGGGCCAAGGCTTGGCTGGGAGCTTTGTTCCGCCTTTCTTCTAAGGGGTTTAACAAAGAGGGCCGAGTCTCAGAAAGGAGCTTTGTTCCTCTTCTGTCCTAGGGGGGTTTGACTAAGAGGCTGAGGTTTGGCTAGGTAGCTGTGTTAATGCTGTGGATGTGCAAGATATTAACTAATCAGTAGAAGACAATTTGCCAGTTCTTTTGAAGCTGAAGAGCTTTGTGGGCAGCATTACTCTGCTTGTTCCTTAGTGGCCAATTCAGCCATACTTTCTGCCAATCTTCAATCTGACCTCCATTGTGTGCCATCCTCATGCCTTTGCTCTTATGTGAACTCTTCCAGATTCCCTGCCAGCCTTTGCATGTGTAACTTCTAGGACGAGTCTATTGCCATCTAGCACCCTGTTAAAGGTGCTAGATTTCTTGTCTTAATAGGTTTCAGGTTGCCTTCCTTCAAGGAGCTAAAGTTCTAGTCTTTGTTTCTGCTGGCTCTCATTAAGAGCTGTGGGGCTTGCCTTACTGTTGAATGCTTCCTGTAGCAATTTGTTCTTAGATTTATTTAATTGTATTAATACTCTTGTCTCACAGAACTAAGGAACGCAAAAATAAGGCATAGCATATACTGTACATAAGAAGCATATGACATGCTTCTTTCTGAGTTTCTTTCTTTCTTCTATTCTGAGCAGAATACTCAGTACATGGATCCAATTCCCTGTTTTATGTCCTTGATTTCCCTGTGCAGAGATGTTCTTTATATCAGAGGATCCAATTGCAATTTTCACACAGTATTTATATTTTTATACGGCCAATAACCACGTAGAAAATAAACAAACAGTTTGTGTTTTAGTGTGGCAAGACCACAAAAGTGGGTGGTGGGATGATTAGATGTTAAGGAGATAAAGTAAGTAAGTGTGTTCACCGAAAGGTACAGAAATGTGTTGATACCCGCTAAAGCCCCGAAATCATCTCAAGATAACCTCAAGATAACCCACGCTGAGAGACTGTGTTAGGGGGAACAATGTGAATGTCTTCAAGCTTCTTAATCAGTATGTGTGCATGTGCACATTGTGAGAATGAACTAAAATATTCGTGCTCTTGATATTATTAAAAAATATGCGCGGTGATTTTCACAATCTTCAGATGCTTAACTAAATTGCAGGTGCACACTATTGTCTGAAATGACTTGTACTACCCTTGCTGCTCTCCTAGATTCTGCCACTGTTTATTCCTGATAAGTTTATACTTAGCATTTCTTATAACTTTACAAATAAATAAACACCAATGTTTAGATAAAAAAAAATCAGTTTTTTATCATAAATTGTGAACTCGGAAACACTAATATTAGTTTCACTTAGTAAAAGTAGTACAAAATTTATTATGCTATGTTAGTGGATGCTGGAGCTGGTTATTATTATACTATGTGCTTTTTCATCAATCCATTTTAGCTAAAGCAGTTATTGGTTAATATATGAATGTTGCTGTGTAAAGCTCTCACATATCAGGAAAGGCAATGCTGCTTAAGTATCAGCAAATATAATATTTATATATGACGGGAGATACATTGACACGTTAATTCATTGTGTGAATTGTTCATTAATTATCAAGCTCGGGATAACATTAACTATTAGAGACAAAGTTCTCTTTCGGCAAGAACAACTTAAGCTTGAAATTAAGAACATACATCTCCAGTTTATATTGCAACACTGAAAATAATTACAAAGCAAGAGTAAAACGCATTAAAACAGTAAGGTACGGCAACACGTATGCCTACCAAATATATTTAACTCAATTACTTTAAGATACCACTATGTAACAAAGATTTCATCACGCAAAGGATGCAGTACTTTTGAACATTGCCGTGTTTCTGAGATATGTGGCCACTGTCGTTCTCACCAGAAATAACAGATACCGTTCAACCCCCTTTCTTTTGCCTTTGATTGTGAATGCAGCAGTGTGAACCATGCACCGTCCAGCAGTGACACTGTACCTGGTGACCTATTGGCCTTGACCAATGATTTGGTGATTTGGACTCCATATTACATACTGAGGTCAGGGCAGGGTTCACCGTCACACCAGCGAACCACTTCAGGACGAGGCAGTTCTCGACAGGCATTACCAGCTGCTTTCTTGGTACCATTCCAAACACACTGCAAAAGCCGAGTTCGATACCCCTGTCCTCCACACAGTGCAGTACACTATAAACAAAAGAAAATCCTGCAATTAAAATGCAAAAGATGAAGTGTTTTAAGAATAAATATTGTGGCCATACAATGGAATCAAACCCACATTCCTGAAAGGGCATTAGGTAAGAGGAAACCATGTTCATTTCTATTCAAGATGGAAATTAAACCTGGGTCCCTCGGTTGTGAGTGAGGACATAAACCACTGTGCTACAGGAGCAATGGAACACATGTTAATAAGTGTTAAGACATGGAGACCTTACCTCTGACCACTCGCCGACTCGCCATACACCAGAGCATTGATAGTTGTAGCATTCTTGCCGATGCCGGGGACGAGTTCGGTCATCGCACTGTGAAGCACTGACAACTGTACCGTTATGGAGTCGGCACACCACATCACGACGTTGAAAAGCTGTGAGAAATAAATATTTTGTGTGTGATAAAATTCAAGATAATGTTTATTTAAGGGAAAAGTATGTACAAAATGAGTTACAAGCAGAATGTTGGTTTTCTAGATAGAACAAGTATATACTATGCCTAAAGCCACTAATACGCACAGCATTTTGGGGCCTTCGGGCCTTTTTATTAAAAACTCAATACAGTAATTTTGTATGAATTATTGATTATGCAAAACACTTTTCAATCACTTATTTTCCTGATTTCTTGATAACAAAGAGTCCTTACAGCAAACAAACTGTAAATTTGATTGCAAGAATTAAGTATAGAAAATTGATATTATTCCCCAGAAACATTGCTTTTGTGACCAGGAGGGCTATTTTTAAATTTACATATTTTCCAGAACATTCCAGACAGATTCAGTGCAGAGGTGGGAAACTTGGTAAAAGTGCCTTGGAGACCCACCAGGAATGCCACCATTTTGAAGTTTGTCTACTGATTTCTTGCTCCAGTAGAGATGGCATCAAAAGGCATTTCAGAGGTGGTATCCAGCAGATAGTGGCCTCAAAATAGTGGCATACCTGACGGGTCTCCAAGGCAGTTTTATCAAGTTTTCCAGCTCAGCGCTGAATCTATATGGAATGTTCTGGAAAATACGTAAATTAAAAAAATATCCCTCCTGGTCACAAAAGCAACGTTTCTGGGGGAATAATATCCATTTTTCTATACTTTTGGAGACATAAGCAATTAGGTAATAATACTTATTACCCAGGACAAAATTGCTACAGTGTGTGAGTAATGAAAAGGTTGTATAACATTTTATTGACACATTATTCAGTGTGTCTTTAAATATTATCTCTAGCTTTCTTGTATTTGTATTGTATTGTATATTGTATTTGAAATTATTTGCATTTCAAATACAATATGTTTACTCATTATTCATTGTGCATATGAAGCTGAATTTACTTGAGAAGGCTTTGATAAATGTATAAAATTTCCTAATGTTCAAGTTAGTGTGCATAACATTCCTCAGTTACAAATCCACAAGGGCCGTGACGAGGATTCGAACCTGCGTCCGGGAGCATCCCAGAGATGTTCATTTGATGCATCACGTTATTGTGATCTCTGTGTGTGATTCCTCAGTTACATTTGCCCAAAATGGCGTGCACATTAGTGACTTTAGGCACTGTATGTACTAGCTCTAGCTAGAAATCCAACATTATGTTTGTAACTCATCTTGTTTGTATGTACGTTTACCTGAATAAACATTTTATTTTATTTGTTTTTACTGTATTTGATATCTTATTTCCTATATACTATATAACCAACAAACCATATTCTCACATCCGTTCATACACTATCAAAGGAAACTGACCATGATAAAGTGTGAAACAGCGTGATGACTCGCACTCTGACCACTCTCCAAAATGCCACTGTGGACACTCTGTAAGACCGCACTTCTGTAGGGTGACTGGGGCCTCGAGTCCAGCATCCACGCACAATGCCCCATCCACTGGCCGACTCACATTATTCACCTTCACTAGGCATTGCATGGACCGAACCTGAGAATTCACATACAATATTTCTTTCAAATAGTCCATAAAGCATAAATATTTTATAGTACAGAAAAGTAAAGCTTTAGTTAACAAGTTAATAATTCTAGTTGTCAGGGAGAGGAAGCCTGTATCGAACCCATCCCTTCCCCACAAAGGTTGAACAATTGGCATTCCAAAGAAGGAAAAAAAACCACGGCAGATGCTTAACTCCCGGCTACTGTTTTACATCTATGTAAATGGAGGCATCAAGCGAAATGAAATGTGCCCAACCATTTCTGTCCTACCCAGTGAACAAACCTGGGATCCTCAATTGTGAGTCAAGAACATAAACCACTATATAACAAGACCCCCTAAATATAAATATTGTATTTAAAGTAAAGATATAGTAGCCATTTCTTAGCATATACTGCAAGAATTTTATTAACTAAATTCAATAAAAGTATAAAGAAAAAGGATGCAGGATACCACACATGCAGGTTTGTAATCCTGTGCTGCCCTTTCAATTGATATCAAGTGTGTTTAGCTCCTTACCTGAAATCCACTAGAAGTGCTGGTGAAGCCACAAGTCTGGGAACACTCGGACCAATTTGTCACTTGCCATTCAAACTCCAGAGAATCCCGAGTGCCTATAAATACACACAACAATTATTAGTGCTTTTTGTATTTACTTTATATATGTGTGTTTGTCACAGTCCAAGTGATAAAGACAGTATACCCATTACAATATGTCTGTTTATAGCTTTTAAGATTATTATACAATAAATTATAATAATTATTATCACTATACATTACTGAATGATGACAATAAAAGATTTGTACTTCATCACCTTTGCCAAGGATTTCAGGCGTTCCGAGTGGATGCTCAGTGGTAGTTACGTCACGAACAAGGTCATGAGAGATCATTCCACCAAACTCGTCTCTTGGTGGAGCAGCATGGCGTCCTCCCCTAGAGCTGATTGTTCTCTGCAGAGAGGCCGGCAAAAAGCTCTGTGTCCCCATTAGTGAACTCGTAAGATCCCACTGCCCTTGCCATGTTCGCTGTCGCACACCACACCTGATTCAATACTATTACACTCGGAACTCGCTCACTGTCTCAAGATTTAATACTGTGCATACTCCTCATTCTTTATCATCTTGCCTCTTTAAAACTCTTCATTATAAACCAAATAAAGTTTTTCATTCAATATTACACTTACTCGATTCCTGTCTAGCTGCTACCTACAACTGACCCTTTATGGCTACACTCTACATATCTAATACAGCAAATAAAACATAATAATAATCATTTCTGAACTTGAACGCTAAAAGTAATAGGTACAGATTGTTCATGAATAATATTTGTTCATCTTTTATATCAAATGTGAAATAGTTAAGAATACAGAGGAAACTGTATCAAGCAAGTTAAATAGCTAAACTAATTTGAAACCCAAAAACTAGATACTCCAAACACTAACATTATACCAGCACAGGTTAGCCATGCAACAGAAATATCTTACAATTTTCACTGCTAAGCCAAACTAATTCACATTCTAATCCCTATTATACATAATCTAAACTCTATATTATTTATTATGCACATATAATTATTTGTTTTAGTTATACAGTACTAAGTACAGTAGCACATATTAATTTCATGAGCCTCTTAAATATGGATTAATTTAAATTTACAAAAATTATTTAAACTGAACTTGTAGAAACTAATAGCTTATGACACCATTTCTGACTCTCCGGAAAACATTCATTACGGTACAGTATTTCGTCTACATTTATCGTGTTCTCAAATACAATACGTACAGCATATGCAAAAATCATAAAGCATGTCAGCACATGGTTTATGATTACATTCTATCACAACCAGACATCAAACGAGACTAACACAACATAGCACATGCATTCTTGTGCTGCTCAAGCACACAAAACACCACAATGTAAGTTTGTAAACGATTCTAGGCTGAAGTGTAAATATTAAAGTAAAAATATGGTGAAGTGTAAATATTAAAGAAAAATATATATATATATATATATACAGTATATCTATTATAAAAGAAGATTGAAAATGACAAAAACTTATTATCAATTATAATACAAGATAAAAATACATAACTTAATGATACCGTAAGAAATGTATATATATAGAAATGGGGGTTCAAATAGCCCCCCCCTCCCTTTGTCCAAGAAAATAGAAACCCAACACAAGAGATGTGTTTCTTGTCATCTGTTTCACCTGCTCCCCATTACTTCTGTATTAGTTCTGGGCTTGTGTTCACTAGCATGCACTTACAAAAGTCAAAGTAAGAAGTGTGTACGCAATACCACATTTCCCAAATTTCATAAGTCTAGCAAATAACTGGCATGCAAGGTGGTTGAATAAATAAGTAAACCCAATGTTGAGAAAAGTGCAGCATGCACATCCTGTACAGCATTAATATAATAATTCTAGTGTGAACAATGACAGCTATACACTAGACACACAATGCAACAGCAGGTTATCAAAATAGGCACAAGCTCAAAATTCTGGAGGCTGGAGACATACGTTGCCATGTTATACTGTCCCAAGCAAGCCAACAGTTTGCTTGAACACCATCACCCACATTCTAGAATCCAACTCGAGTCAGGGGTGAGGCAATATTTGCTAACCATGTTAAAAGCAGAGAGAGAGAGAGAGAGTATGTTAGACACCCAACCCACAAATCTGAAAATAAAGTAAGTGACAATATATTGGTCCATCCTGGACCATTATCAAGTCGTGTGGGTTGAGTGTCTAATTTTCAACCATACTGTTGTGACATTGTCTCCAAAGTCAATGTTAATTTGGTTATACCAGTATTTGATTCTGGAAGTATTTAGTTAACATTATTTGAGAACTGCTATACACAGGGGATATATGGAATGTTATGGATTAAAATTCCAAGAGTTATATTCTAGAAGCGAGTAGTGTTGGTTCCCATACAGCTCTTCCGGCATCTCACCTCCAGGTTGGACAGCAGCTTCTGGAAGTAGGGTACAGAGCGAGAGCCTCCAGAGCTGGTGTTGGGAGGTGCAGGGGGCAGGGAAGGGGAGGCCTCGGTGTGCGAGTGGGGGGTGCCAGGGGGGTCGTACTGCTGGTGCTGGTCCAAAGAGTTGGTCCAAGAATGCCACAATTGGGAATTGTTTGAGGTAGTGCTTGAGGCATAGTCCCAAGTGGGAGAAGAGGTGCTCTGACTTGGCCTGCGGCCTGTGCTAAGACCTGAGTTCCAAGTTACACCATGATTTGACCAAGACCTCAAATCTGACCGATGAGGTATATGGTGGCGGTGCTGGAGGAAGGGGAAGGAACCATGCGTTGAGAAGAAGGAATAGGAAGATATATGTACTCTGGTCAGGGAGGGTACACTCACATAAATCTTTGACAGGATATCACTTATACAATACTGTATACAAAATTTTTGAGTGATTATAAGCAAAGCATATCAAAACCTCAAAGAAGATATACATAAAAATCTGACATAAAAATAGCTAACAAATACAGTATACATAAAATAATTTATTTGAAATAATTTATCCAGCATCAAGATAAATCTACTTGGCAAGATTATACAAAGCTAATAAAGCAAAAATAAAATAAATCAACAAACTAGGTTGAAAAAATAAGAACCCAGTACATAACACAACGACATGTTTACGAGAAAACGGACTAAGAGTGAAGCGGAGAAAATGAATACTGCGCGTATTAAAGTCTATTTTGTAATTAAGAATGGACGAAGGTACAACTAATTCATTTTTCCCCTAGGAGACTATTGACCTTTACACAGCTCCAGTCATTATCTGCAATTACTGTGCTTCAATCACCATGAACGATTATTTACATTTGATTTGTGAATTTTTGTTTGTCATGAACGCCACGATGTTGAACTTTTAAATTTATTTATTTGTACTTATTTATTTATACATACACAAGAAGGTATATTAGGTTTATGAGAGTACATAGCATTGATGTATTTACATTCTTGTAAAGCCACTAACACGCATAGCATTTGGCAGGTCCTTAATCTAACAGATAATTTTAACTAGGTAATTTGTAGCAAAATTTAACAAATGTTAACAGGTACAGTGTAAGAAAATTTGACAAAGATTAGTAGATACATTAAAGTAAAATCTGAGGGTTATCAACAGGTACTGTAAATCCTGGTTTGTGCCTCGGAGAGGCTACGGGATCCAGTAAATTCAGTAGGACTTCGGTTTCAACTCTTTTACCCTGTCGTAGCTCAGTCGATTAAGGCAGTGTCTGGGATGCTCCCGGACGCAGGTTCGAATCCTCGTCACGGCCCTTGTGGATTTGTTCATTATCAACAGGTACATTATAGCATAATTTGAGGATTAAATCAAGGTATATTGTAGTAAAATATCTGTATAATATAACAACCATGATATAAGAAGATAGCAATGATTACAATGGTGAAGTTGTATGGCTTAGGTACACATAATGGAGAATTGGGTAGCACTAGATACAGTTCAAATATAAAGCACTAGGTAGGAAACTATGATGATGAAATTAGGTACTTTTTGGTTTTATTTTTAAATAAGGCAAAAGCTGTACAGCTTTTCAAGTTGTTAGGGAGCGAGTTCCATGGACTAGGTTCCTTTATATGCAATGTGTTTTTACACATATTAAGTTTGACTTTGGGGATATCAAAGATATATTTATTTCTGGTGTGGTGATTATGGGCTTTATTACATCTGTCTAGGAAGAGTTTCAGATCAGGATTTGCATTATAGCCGAGTAAAAATAAAGTATTGCAAAATAGCTTAACTCTTTTGAGGGTTGAAAACTGGTATAAGCAGGGAATATATATGGATGTTGGCCTAGGGAGATCTTGATAAACCTGGTACATACAGGCCTCCTGCCCCTCAACAATGGGAATTAATCAATTCTCTTGGAATGTACCATACAGTACTTGTGGGAGGTGATCATACATATAAATCTTTTTTCTTTCTATACAATTAAAAACCAAGTGTGCAGAAAACCCACAAAGAAACACCCAAAACATTTCTTAAATGCTGCACGTTGAACTACATAGCCTTCAAAAGAAGCCAACCACTGGCACTGGGAAACAAGACTGTGCATTAAGAATGAGGACTATGCCCTCAGCATATACAAATAAGCTAATACAGTAATACTGGAATACATACTAAGCTGTCATTTGATCTACACCTCAAAATTTTGACATACAGTATTAAGACAAAATACAATTTCTATTCTAATAAGATCCTCTTTATGTCATATATTCAAATTTAACCGTAGACCATTTGCATCGAAGGTATCATAACACGAGGAACAAGAGAAAAAATTTGCACGGAATAAGTTGAGTTCAATACAAAAATATAAATGCTAGCACAACACAACTACACAATAAGCAGATTTTATTGCTAGTATACAGTACTTGCAATTTTGAGAAGGATTAAGGAAAAAAAAATCGGTAGAACTAAAAACTAACTACAGTACATATCTAGACTTCATCTACAGATATAGCATGGGTAATTCAACCTATTTAATCTACATAATTATTGCTAATATATTTTCACCGAGGATTATAGTATATAATAACAAAATATATATACAGTATGTACGTATGCATGCATGCCGAGCAACCTCAGGAACCTTGACTGTATGGTTCCAAACACCTTCCTGATATTTTTCCCATTCTCCAGAAATGATAATACCTGGAGTAATTACCTTGTTACTCTGTTGTCTGGAGGATGCAATGATTTACTCCAGCCAATTTACAGCAGGGTATTGCTGCTTGCAGCTTGGCAAAATGCATCTCAGATTTTACTGACACTGCAGATTTTTCCTGCCGACCCTATTCATTTGCCCTTGAATTCAGGGTTCTTTTCCCTCACGTGCGGAATATTTGTATTGCTAGCACTCTGTGTTGGCCATTCCACCAATTCAGGTAACTGTGTATTTAGTATACAGGTACTGTATATAGTCATGGTTGATTCTGCCCTTGTTGATATTATCTAGTGATCTGGTGGCTCATCTGTTTGTTTCCACTCAGGGAGTCATTCCCATTGTTCTGTGCATTGGGAGCACTTACATTCTTGCAGTGACCACGCATCTTAGTTGTGTTGTGTAGTGCTCAGTTCTGCATCATACAGGTGGAGGGGCTTTGCCCTGACTTACAGGGTTTGTACTCGAGACACTTCCTGTGGACTTATGCTGTCTTGAGCTCGTCTTCCCCTCCCTCATCTCTGGACAGTTTTGGTGTTTGGTCACTATTCAAGTCTTCTCTCACAACTTGTATTTCCACCCATTAGTTGGGTTGGCCCCCAACTAATGCCAGGGGTACAATTGTCTTTCTAGGGCACGAGGTTGGAAAGGTAGGGTGAAGCCCATGCCTTTCTTGGCTTCTTTCTGCTTGTTCACTCCTACAATGGAGTTGTATGTGGTGACATTTACTTTTCCTGCTTTCATTTTCTAAGTGGTTCCAGAGGCCCTCTATAGGTGACAATTTTTCATCTTTTGCCCTGGTTTAGGGCATCAACTATGGTGTGTGTCTAGTCCTGGCCCTTTGCTGTTTAGATTGTTTAGGTGGACCACTGACCTGAGAATGGTCGGTGGTGCTAGCCTCGTCTTGGAGACGAGGAACGTTAGGTCTTAATTCTCTCTTATTATTATTTATTCTTCTTCAAGGCGTGCCGGACCAACTGGGCTGTGGTGGATATGGGGGTCTGTGGGCCGCTCCAAGCAACAGCCTGGTGGACCAATCTCTCTCAAGTCAAGCCTGGCCCAAAAGCCTGATCTCGGGCCAGGCTTGGGGAGTAGAAGAATTCCCAGAACCCCATCAAGCAGGTATCAAGCAGGTATCTCTCAGAGGGAGTGTGAGTGTCTTGTGGCCTCCTCTCATTTATGTGGGTGGTTCCCTCGGTATTGGGTTGATCTCTGATTCCCATTAGCTACTTGCCTTGTAGGAAGGACCAAGGATGTTTTCAAGGTCCTTGTCACCAGTAGGCAATGAGTGTCTTACTAGTACCTTGTATTATAGAGACTGAGCAGTAACAGCCAATGCACAAGCATGGGGAGCTACCAAACTGGAGGCCAAGAAATAAAGCTGGTGAGTACTAACAAATATTAATTGTTGTAGGTGTAATATTTGTAGGTACTGTATATTAAAAAATTTAATGTATTAAGCATTTTGAGTATGGGCCAAAATGTCCCACCCCGGGAATATCCAAATATTATTGATAAATAAGAAAAATATAAAATTGAAGAAAATGGTCAAAAATATGAACCATTTTGTAAAGTACCTATTAATAATTTAATAATAATAATAATAATTTGCCATCTATAGTTTGATATTCAAGTATTGAATAATTAGTAATTAGCATACTCATGGAAATAAACCTTCTATGATAAAAAAACTGTACTTGTAGAAACACCAATGAACATTATTTGCAACACTAAAGATTTAGATATACTGTAGCTGTTCTATATTTTGACATTTCTCAATTATCTATGATGAGAAAATACTGAAGCTGTACAATGAGGCTCGGACCCGTGTCTCTGGACCGCCTAGGCACATGCACTACCAACTGCGCCATGATGGGCTAAAGTATCTCAAGCAGTAGTACTAGCAGACTTGTGTGGAGTTTGCAAGTCTGCTAGTACAGTACTTCAGGTACTTTCTTCTCCATCATAATTACCCAAGTGTAATTACCTAAGTAGAGTTACAGGATGAGAGCTACGCTCGTGGTGTCACGTCTTCCCAGTTACTCAACTGGAGGCCTTAGGTGACTCGAACCCCATGACCAATGTACTAACAGCTGCAACTTCTACCACTGTACCACCCTGCCCAGGTATTCATGGTTAAGTGCATGTGCTTGAGGAGTTTAGAGATGTAGGTTTAATTCAAGCATACATAATTCATTTTTCTGGGGATAGGATAGATAGATAGATAGATAGATATATATATATATATATATATATATATATATATATATATATATATATATATATATATATATATATATATATATATATATATATATATATATATATATATATATATATATATATATATATATATGTCGTACCTAGTAGCCAGAACGCACTTCTCAGCCTACTATACAAGGCCCGATTTGCCTAATAAGCCAAGTTTTCATGAATTAATGTTTTTTCGACTACCTAACCTACCTAACCTGACCTAACCTAACTTTTTCGGCTACCTAACCTAACCTAACCTATGAAGATAGGTTATGTTAGGTTAGGTAGGGTTGGTTAGGTTTGGTCATATATCTACGTTAATTTTAACTCCAATTAAAAGCAATTGACCTCATACATAATGAAATGGGTAGCTTTATCATTTCAGAAGAAAAAAAAATTGAGAAAATATATTTATTCAGGAAAATTTGGCTTATTAAGCAAATCGGGCCTTGCATAATAGGCTGAAAAGTGCATTCTGGCTACTAGGTACGACATATATATATATATATATATATATATATATATATATATATATATATATATATATATATATATATATATATATATATATATATATATATATATATATATATATATATATATATATATATATATATATATATATATATATATATATATATATATATATATATATATATATATATATATATATATATATATATATATATATATATATATATATATATATATATATATATATATATATATATATATATATATATATATGTCGTACCTAGTAGCCAGAACTCACTTCTCAGCCTACTATTCAAGGCCCGATTTGCCTAATAAGCCAAGTTTTCCTGAATTAATATATTTACTATATTTTTTTTCTTATGAAATGATAAAGCAACCCTTTTCTCTATGTATGAGGTCATTTTTTTTTATTGGAGTTAAAATTAACGTAGATATATGACCGAACCTAACCAACCCTACCTAACCTAACCTAACCTATATTTATCGGTAAGGTTAGGTTAGGTAGCCAAAAAAAGCTAGGTTAGGTTAGGTTAGGTAGGTTAGGTAGACGAAAAAACATTAATTCATGAAAACTTGGCTTATTAGGCAAATCGGGCCTTGAATAGTAGGCTGAGAAGTGCGTTCTGGCTATTAGGTACGACATATATATATATATATATATATATATATATATATATATATATATATATTTGTTAGGCTTGTTTAGAAGTCCTCTCAAGGTTGAACTATTGACCTTACCCCAGGATGCAACTCCACAACAGTGGTATAAGTTTCTGGAACCTATTTACTGCTAGAAGAAGAAGGGTATTAGGTGAAAGGGACATGCCCAGCCATTCCTATCCTGCCCAGGATTCAAATCCAGGATTCCCAACTGTGAACTGAGAACAACCCCAACTGTACTACTGAGACCCTCTTCAATATTTTCTCACAGATAAGTCCGACTTCACAAGAGCGTTTGCTCGATGGCTGGAGCCTGTAATACATTACATGTACAGCATGTTACTGCCTTCTAATATAACCTTACCTCTCTATCTGAATCACTACGTGCCGGCGAGAAACGCGACTCTGTTTCCACCCCACTAAGAGCATCTTCAATAGAATTGCGGTCTTCCTGTTAAGAACATAAAAATGAGCATGAATGTACAGTATAGTTATGTGTCTATTGATCAACTAGTCATCCTATTTGCCTAATCTTTTAGATTCTAATTTAGATCCTAATTTAATTAACTAATTCATTTTAGTTACAGTTATCTATGCAGAATATCAATTTAAGATGGCTATGAATTTTCTTGCCAGCCACACAATTTCTTAACATTTGAATATGCATAAAAATATTGTATCAACATTTTAAAATTTGAGAACACAATTATCTAAAACTCCGCAGTTCATGTAAATACATTTTAACTTCAACTAAATGATGCATTTTATATCAGACATGATGCAATCAATTCTAACACCTGCATTATGACTTCTGTCAGTGTAAATCACAATATACCAAATGTTTCATCTTAAATGTAATATTATTATTATTATTATTATTATTATTATTATTAATACTTATATTCCCAGTGCAATCTATCCTCCAGAAGAAATTATCAATAAGATAAATATAATGCCATATTGGACAAGATTGTATTAAGGAACTCAACAATTAATATTTACATTGTACATGAAGAGGTTACTTTTCAAATTATAAAAGGTGTAAGTAATCAAATGTCTATGAAAAATTGCTTTAAGCTTTAAGTTAAATTACAAAGGCATTTAGGTTTTCCTAGGTTAGAACATGTCGCAGACATTCCCGGTTATCCCAACATCTTTAATAACAATGTTAAACTGTTTACAAGAGTACCATATGCAATATGTCAACGACCCACTGTTAACCCCTAAACTGCGCAGAATACTAAACAAATCATGTGTGAAAAATATTTTATGCGCGACTAGAGCACAGGAGGAAATTGCGGATGGCAATTGTAGCAGTGTAGGGGTTAAGGCACTAGATAAATATCAATAAATAAATCAGTCATTTACAACACTATTGAAGAGCAGGTTAACTGTCAGTAAAACCTGCATTTATATTATTCCTAGAGTTATGTTCTTGCATACTATCACTCATACTCTATTAGAAATATTGTTAGAAGCAATAAAAAGCTCTGAGACTTTCTATCATATTTACTAGCAATTTTTTTTTTTTTGTGCCATTCTATATTTCTCATGCATATTTCCCATTACCTTACACCTGTATGTACCTGCTGAGGTAATCATCAACCTTTCTACACAATCTTGTTTCTCAGACCAAGCTAGCAAGCGGTGATTATCTCACATGTATGAGAGCCAAACCAGCATGAAGAATTCTGCATCAATGGTTCAGGCATTCCTTCGAAAGTTGGCTGGAATGCATGGGAAATATTCTATGTGAGGTCACCCCCCTCCTCTAAACGCAAAAGAGTTCCCCAAGACACAGCATCACAAGAAATTTATAATGCCTGATTGTGTAATAATCCCCATTGCAGAATTACTAATTTTAGCCTAAGTCCCCTGCATGGAGGATGGTAGGAAAAGAAGTGAATGTACATGCCACTATGCATGGGTTTACGGTAGACAGAGAAAGAGAATGTTCACAGCTCTGTGTCTGGGTTCTCTTTCTCTGTCTACCGTAAACCCATGCATAGTGGCATGTACATTCACTTCTTTTCCTACCATCCTCCTTCTGTTAAGAAAAGTGTCCTCGTCTCTCTCTTCCTCCGCGCTCTACGCATCAGCGACCCTCAGTTTATATCCTAAATTGCCTGAACCTAACCTGACTGAGGACCCACGAATAGAAAATGTGACAGCCCATCAATTTTGCGAGCCACTATGATTTATAGTACATTACATTTTGGCCGTTGATAATTTACGTCAGAATGCGATGTACTATTTGAGAGGACAGGTTGGATTCTGATGGTTCCTAACACAAGCCATAGTCTTCACAGGTCCAAGAATGATATAATTTTTTGTCCACGTCCTCACCTCAAAGGCAGGGTTCTTCTCAGGCACGTGGGTTTCTGGAACAGTGGTCATATCTGACCAGCTTGTTCGTCCAGAATCTGTCGTGTCTGTTGTTTCAGCTTGCGGGCCATAATGTATAATACCATAACTCTGGTTTTCTTCACTAGTGAAGCGGCTTCCATCACTGGAGAAAGATCTTGTAAGTTTCTGTCTAAAGATAATGAACTGTGGTGCTACTGGCCAAGTTTAAACTTATTGGTGACACAAGTAAGCTGATCACCTTTAATGTTTAAGACAGAGAGAGAGGCCCCTTTAAATGACAACATATTTGTATGCATCATGATGGAAATTAAAGAATGCTTAAGAATAAATTGTAGCCTACAATAAAAGGTGATGAGTCTTGCTGATATACTGGATTTCTCTCAATATACAACTCCAAGTTTTAATTGTATTTTTTATGAGGTGAACAAAACATCAAATTACTTTTTCATAAATTTAAATTTGCATTTCATGCAACCCCCTGATTTTGCAATATATTTGCAAACTGTGATCAAATCAGCAAGTAAAATAATGAAACACATCTATTTTGAAGGGAGAAGCAAATTACATTATGCATCCTCTGACCTATGGTGAGTGATTGTGCCAAAAGTATGTTGTGTTTCTTCACCAATGTCCTTCTCCGGAAGATGATTGGTAGTTCCAAATAAGTGTGTCTCTTCATCCCATCCCGTCTCTCTGTGGTAACCCTTCTCACTGTGGAGAGGCCAGTCGTGAGTGTGTCTGACCGTCCCATACACGTAATCCTGTTTAGGTTTATGGGTGTGAGTGTTGCGCTGCCAAAATGTGGGGTCAAAAGTGTTAGTTGCTTCACTGCTTGTCACCTCAACAGTGTGCATGTTTTTGCTTGATGCCTAAGGAAGGGGTAGCAGAGGAGACACTTATGTTAGAAGAGTTTACTCAAGCAACTGGTGTTTATAGTTAGTATACAAAATATATTAGATGTAATAACAAAATTTATGAAGCAAGGAGCTACAATAGGTAAAGTTCCCGTTTCAACACAAGTACCTGCATGAAAGTGAACCAATAAGCCCATGTTTATCCAATGAAAGTGAACCAATAACCTCCATAATTAATATAGAGCAACATGCAAAATTCACACATTACAGTTAATAAGACCCAACACAATTACCAAATCAATTTGTTAACTTCTGCATGCTGGCAACTCTAACTTCCAAGTAACACAAAATAACGCATTTATATACTCGTTAATATTAAACAGGTAATAATACTTCATTACCTTAAAGGGTCCTTCTCCCAGTGTTACTGATCCTGAGCTTGTGGGGAAAGGTAGTATTGGTCTAAATGTGGTATGCATGGTCCACGCTGTCTTGTTGCTGCTCTTTGGCCACTCGCTATCCCAGTTACCTTTACGACGGCGACCTCCGCGTCCTTTGTTCTTTGTGGGTTTGTTCCTTCTCCTTCCCTTTCGACGACGACCTCCAGTGCCTTGGAACTTACTGGACTTGTTAGGCAACCATTCTGTGAAATATTTAAATATGAACAAACGGAAGTGCTGGTACACTAGTGTTATGGTTTTCGTTATCGGGGACAGAAAGGCTGTTAGGTTTATCGAGGTTCCCCAAATGATTTTTTTCCCAGTATGCAATCCACAACAGTTGCCTAATACCTGTCACATTCATAGCATACAGTGCCATCCATTTGTATGTGCTGTATTTCATACACCAGCAATATGTAAACAACAGAGCGTGCAGGATGCCCACCACGCCTGGACGCTGCTAGTCATGTATCATTATAAGTATTAAAGTCAGTAACTAAGCAATGGCTTTTCATCAACCCTAAAACCAAGGCCATCCACAGCAACACAACACCACAATACCCAAATACAATACCTAGTTTCAACTCAGTAAACAGGGTTATCTAGCATGAGGAAAGACGCCCAAATGTATCGCCCTGCATTGTGATTGAAGTTTTGTAGAATCGGATGTGTGCAGACTGCACTAATCACTGTGTGTTATCACAAGTACACTAATATGCACCACAAGAATACTGTTAGAAGCTGTTGAAGCTCTAATACTGTTAGAATACTGTTGTTATTTGCCCAAAATGCTTTGCATAATAGTGGCTTCATAGATTATGTAACTCCTGTCCCTACAATGGTACATTACTCTTATGTTCTTTCTATACACATGCTTTTGAATAAACATTTGTATTTATATAAATAAAAATAAAGTTGAGTACTGGAGAGCGCTGTAACTGATCACAACATAAATACCCGAGATGTGTGAATGATAAAAGAAAGAGTTTGTGAAATCGAAGGTGAGAGAGGAGATGAGGGAGGAAGAAAAACTGGCTCCTGCAATTTAGGCTCTGGTTTGATAAAAAAAAATACAATAACTGAATAGCAGCCCAAGGGCCACTTGAAAGAGTAATAGAGTTAACCAATAAAGAGATGCAAGATAAAGGTTTGTTATGAGAACGTTCAATAAAGAATTCAAACAGTAACAACTGACAATCCAAGAAGCGCACTCAGTTAGCATAAAATAGAGTAAGAAGTGAAAATGTCATTGACAGATTTGGCTTGCAAAAGTCAACGATTAACAAAGTCATGGAGAATGCACAGAGATGGTTTGGGCATGCTGCATGAAATGATGGTTGACTGGATAAAAGAGAGAGAGAGAGAGAGAGAGAGAGAGAGAGAGAGAGTGTATTTAAGTAGATTTCTAGATAAGGAAAGAAGGGTTAAAGCTGGGAAGATGGGCAAACATGATGAATGAGTGAGAAAATGGGAAAGTGTGTGATCAATGCATAAGATTATGGTAAAACACAGGGCAGGTTGGAGGTGGTTTGTAGGAATTGAGAGATTTGGAAGATATTAAGCCATGATACCCAACCCATACATTTAAAACATGAAGAAATAGGAAAGTTTAGGTCCATCCTGAACCATCATCAAATCATGTAATAGAAAGAGTATGGATGAGACAAACCATATGATGAAAGAGAGCGAGACGAAAGGCGAGATGACTGTAAGAGAAAGATGAGGGTAAGGAGAAGATGAAAGGTCCAGGACAGATCGAAATGTCATCCTTTCTTCATTTACAAGTGAATGGGTTTACTATCAACTTTTCGGCCACGTTATCGTGACTCATCATCTGCATATTAAGCCAAACCAAATTCAAAGACTATTCATAAACATCGGCACATTTATAGCTGGGTTAGTTTACACTCCCAAGGTCCAACAGCTTCAAGCATCAATGTAGGGCAGAAAACAGAAAAAGTTTTTCCACCAATTGGAAAATACACGTAGTAAATTATCTATCTACCAAACCGACAAATGCCAAGACAATAACTTCAGTTTAAAATTCAACTGGAAAATGACCCATGACCTGAACATGATCCATGCTTGTTTATTACTTCTTAGTAATCGTTTATTACGATCCTATCTTAGTGACAGACACCAATATGTAACCATCAATGATACAACTTCTTCCACTCTACCAATTACCGTTGGAGTGCCACAGGGCAGCATCTTGGGACCTCTTCTATTTCTTATATATATAAACGATCTGCCTAATGTCTCTAATATTCTCAAACCTATACTGTTTGCTGACGATACTACCCTTATCTACTCAAACCTCAACCCACATACACTAAATAATGTTGTGAATAATGAATTAAAAAAAGTCCACTTATGGATGTCAACGAACAAACTAACATTAAACATCGAAAAGACTTACTACATCTTATTTGGAAGCAAATCATCAAATGCAATTCAGCTACAGATAGACAACATTAACATCAGTAATAAAAATGATGGCAAGTTTCTTGGCCTATTCCTAGACAAGAGACTCAACTTCAGCACCCACATTCAACACATAACTAAGAAAGTCTCTAAGACAGTTGGTATACTCTCCAAAATCAGATATTATGTTCCTAACTCTGCTCTCCTCTCACTATATTATGCACTAATCTACCCCTATCTTAATTATGGTATCTGTGCATGGGGGTCTACCACTGCAAACCACCTTAAGCCCATCATCACACAGCAAAAATCTGCTATCAGAATAATAACTAACTCTGCTTTCAGACAACACTCAGCTCCCTTGTTTAAATCCCTAAACTTGCTAAATATTAACTCCCTCCACACATTCTCTTGTGTCAACTACATTTACAAAACCCTGTTCTTAAATGCAAACCATGCTCTGAAACTCTCCCTGGACAGATGTAATAGGACCCATTATCACCACACCAGAAATAAATATCTCTTTGATATCCCCAGGGTCAAACTTAATCTGTGTAAACACTCTATGCAAATTAAGGGACCTAGTCTATGGAACTCACTCCCTAGTGAATTGAAAAACTGTAAAACTTTTGCCTTATTTAAAAGCAAAACCAAAAAGTACCTAACTTCATCATTTAGTTTCCTACACTGAGCTTTAAATTTGCTCTGTACCTAGTGTTACCCAATCTCCTAATTTTTATGTAATATCAAACAACCTTATCATTGTGTTCATTGCTGTCTTCTTTTATGTGCTAGCCATATGCTGTATTGTGACTACCAATTTTTGTCAACTACCATTCAAGCTGTCATTGCAATCAATCTTATATTGTTTCTGCTGTATTGTGCCTACCAATTTGTTGTCAACTACCATTTTAAGCTGTCATTGCAATCAATCATAGCTACCTATGTGCTTTAATATACTGTACCTATAATTTTCTCTCATCTTTTTTTTTCATTCCATGTAATCTGTTATCATTTTTTTGTCTATAAATTTTGCAAGTATTTACCTCCTTAAAATTTTCTTAGATTAAGGACCTGCCCGAAATGCTGCGCGTGCTAGTGGCTTTACAAGACTGTAATTACCATATTTGTATCCTCACATTCCTTATGTACATTCTTGTATATGCATAAATAAATAAATAAATAAAACTCATGACATTCTGTAACAATTGCTATCTATTATTATTATTATTATTATTATTATTATTATGCTACAGTGTATGATTGGAAATTGGATAGTCACCATAGCCATTGAGAGTGCCCGTAGTATCAAAGTTGTGGAGACTGACTTCATTAACCGAGCTGCCAGATGTATGATGAAGTTCCTCTGACGATGGATAGCTTGAGGGTAAGGGCTTCACCTCAAGGGTAATATTGGCCTCAGACACATTTGCTGCAGAGAAGACATAGAATCAACAACAACAACAAAAATAGATTCCCAGAAATATACAGTATTCGGTTTGGCTATTACCAAAGTCCATACAGTACAGTAGTCCGTTGACATATAGTTCAATACTGCTTCCATATTTAAGAGTACAGTACTGTATTATACAACTACTGTATTCAAAAGACTTAAATCTCTATATGTACTATTTTCTCATCCATTCTTGCTGTATATATCGAAACACTTGCCAAATTAACTTTAAGTGTAGTAACCTGGTCTTATATCTATAGCTCTGAAGAGCATGCATTAGTCCAGTCCACTTACACACAGCTGGGAAGTGCATGCATAAGTCCAGTCCACTTACACACAGCTGGGAAGTGCATGCATTTGTCCAGTCCACTTACACACAGCTGGGAAGTGCATGCATTAGTTCAGTCCACTTACACACAGCTGGGAAGTGCATGCATTAGTCCAGTCCACTTACACACAGTTGGCAAGTGCATGCATTAGTCCAGTCCACTTACACACAGCTGGCAAGTGCATGCATTAGTCCAGTCCACTTACACACAGCTGGCAAGTGCATGCATTAGTCCAGTCCACTTACAGTGTTCCATGTAATGAAATGCTCTTTCTGGTGGGTCCACCAGAAAAGCCAATCACCTGGAAATTATTCATGCAGTAGTTCTGAAAAACTAGCTCTTAGCAATAAATATATTTTCCTATAAAAGGTCTACACAAAGATAATAGGATAAGTGGGTCCTCCAAAACTTACCAACACAGAACAAGACATCATTTTCCGTCTAAAGGGAATTCTTTCAATTACTTAAAAGTTTCTTTCATGCCAAGTCCTTCTTTGGGGTAATATCTACGGCATGATCTGTCTAAGAGTTAGCCATCTTAAAGAGCCTTACATTATTTGAATATTAAATTTAAAAAACTTGAAATACATTTTAACATTGGAGGCATTTGGAAAGAGTTGGGGAATACGGGGAAAGTTATGTCAGTTTGGTAATCTATCAGCTACCTTTGGAAAGTTTCCATAGGATACAATTAGACTGCATAAGAAACATTTCAAATGCTAACTCACCATTTTCACAAAATTCACCGATATTGTATATAGTAAGAACTGTAAGACATCCAGGATTTGACCAATTGATGTGATGGGTATTCTTTATTGGCAATTTTTCTGAATTTCGTAGACCTTAGCACACCCAAAAGAAAGAGAGCTTGTGTGTATATTAGATCCTGTCTTTACAGTATACCATGTCTACCTGATGCTAGTTTAAAACATGATATACACAACAAGAATGCATTATACAATCTATTTTCACTTACCTTTAAGAACAACAAATAATAATCATTTTTGATCATATTTTACACTGCTAAGCCAATACAGTAACTTTTATGCAGACTTTGCTTTGAAAAAAAAAAATCACTCCAATCTCAGACACAGTATTCATACTAGATTTTCCAGCACATAAGATGTGCCGGAATTTGCATTTACAATTTTTTTTAGCATATTCTATCATATATTTATAAAAATTAATGTTTAAATGGTTTTGTTGGGAAAAAACATGATTTAGTGCTTGTCAATACAATATACATTTGGTTGGTGATGGGCCAAAAACATGCATGCTATCTGCCGGCAAATGCGGGAATACAGTACCTGTACTCTTATTAAAATCCTTAAACATGCTAAATATACAAGCACTACACACATTCACCTGTGTACCCTATATCTTGAAAGCTCTAAATTGCAACACTAATCCTGACCTCAAGTGATTTTAGAAAGTGGTAACAGAGCTTACAGATGCTATACAAGAAATGACTACCCCATTGACAAGTCTCACTTAAGCAAAGTGAAAATGACAAATAAAGTTATCGAAGAGCTACCAAAATCAACTACATAAAATGATGAAGGATCTATAAACAATTTAAGAGAAACAAAGACATTTTTGTAGTTAATGCAAATGATATGATAATTCCTGTTGTTGGGAATGGGAAGCCTGTACTAAAGTTCATCAAGGTTGCCCCTTCTTCTCTGCTAATAACTGATCTTTCCCAGGATGCAACCCACAGCAATTACATAACTTCTGAGTACCAATTTTACTACTAAGTGAACACAGCCATCAGGTGAAAGGAAGCGTGCGGGGATTGAACCCAGATTCGTCTCTTGTAAACCAACTTGACCAAACTATCTCGCCATACATGCATCAATTTCTGCTGAAAATGAGTTTTTAATGCTCATGCTACACCAGCATCTCGTGCTCATACGTTAAAGCAGGTACCAATACGTGTTCATTCAGCGCAAGTAGTAACTTTCCATCCACGATACATTCTTTTTGTCATTTGGAACTTTGTCATGATCAATTGCTAGCCATTCTAAATATACAGTAAATGTGTTTCTTAATCTCTAATAGGTACAATATATGTATTACACAAAATGTTTAAAGCAGAAGATAGTTAAAAGAAGTGTAGAAATTTTGCCATGGAAGATTTTACACATGTTTAAGACATTGTACAGCATCATCCATTGAGAAAAATAATCAATACATTAAATTACTTTCACATACCTTTGCAGATATAGACTCCAGCATGTGGGTACTGCACTTCTTTGATTTTAAGAACACCATTTTTGTTAGTTCTGACCGAACCTCTATTTCCAATTTTGTTACCTTCGTACCACCAAGTAATCTTCGCACGATCAAAGCGTCGCACGGGGCATTTCACTTTCACTTTTACTCCTCGGAACACTGCAGCCTTTCCACCAACCTGTCTCAGGATGTAAGGAAATCAGACTACAAAACATTATTTATCTTAAAAAAATATATAAAAAATACAGCATTGAATGTACTGAAATGCCTCTTTCTGGTGGGTCTTCTCGGCAGCTTCCAGGAAGCTAGCCTTCTAGTTAGTTTCAGGGAGTTATCATGGGGACCCTCTCAGAAAGAGAAATTAAAGATGATCTACGTAATGATTTGTATGTTAGTCTATTTGTGAACTTTTCTGTCCTTTTGTTTAGAAATTCCCCTCAGAGTATGGTATCTAGCACGTCATTCAAGAGGATGTTGTGTAACAAGATGCCGAGGACAGGGAAAGGCATGATGGTGGCTAACCACAAACTAGTCAAGACAAAGGATATCAGGACTAGTTGGATCTGCATTGCTCTGGTGGTGATGGAGTTGGCATGGTAGGATGTGGGTCTCACAATGTGCAGGTGGCATGTTTGAGTTGGCAGAACAGCAGGATGCAGTGGATGTGGTAAATGCATCCGACAAAGAAGCAGCTGTGGTAGGAGTCCCAGTAGGACCTGACCTGCTCTGGCAGCGACAAAGAAATGGCAAGACAGGCTGTAGGTCCTGCCAATGAAGCAGTCGGATGAGCAGGACCAGGATGGGCAGAAATGGTTGTTGAAGTTATAGTGAGAGGGGCCATACCTCGAGCACCCCTGGAGAGGGTTTCGGGAGTTCTTCTATTCCCTGAGGCCTGAGGCCAGACTCCAAACAGACTGCCATCTTGCAGTCTGTCTGGGCTGGGTGGCTAGGTATTTATGACTCTCTGTATCACCAACGTAACGTATACAATCTTGAATCACAACATACAAAGAGCATGGTAGTTTGACATTTATTTAATATAGTTAAGGTACAGCAGTCTCATGATGTTTCAGGATAGGTCGAGATGAGGGCGTGCTTGTTACATGTTCCTGGCAGAGTCAAATATAACAGTGCTGAAGGTGGCCAGAAGTGGAGAGCTTGTGAGAAGCCTGATGCCAAGAGCAGAGAGCTTGAGTGAGGCCGGGGATTGAAAGCTCGAATGAGGGCGAGAGCAGAGAGCTCGAACGAGGGTGGAAGTGGAGAGCTGGGATGAGGGGTGAAAACGGGGTAGCTCAAATAAGACTGGGACTGGCTGTCTGGTCTGTAGTGATGTTTGTAGCCTCTCATACAAGGGTTGGAACGCAACTCGTCCAGTGTCACATGGTATGCTAATGAATATTGGTGGTAATAATAATTGATGAAGAAGATCTGCACTATATTCAGAGTGCTTGTCACTGAATCACTGATGGAGTTAGACTGATAATGCTATGTTCCTGATTGGCTAATGTCTACACTTCACCTGACCAGTTTTCTGGGCGAGGCCACTGTAAACTGGCTGATGGGAAAGCTTGATGTTTACTGGAACTTCTTGCAAACATGTATTAATGTAATTACAGATGTCATTAATGGTTAGTGAATATGATTGTAGGTGTCATGAGTGATTATGGGGATAAGTTCCTGGCACATTAGAGATACTGTAGTTTGCTACAGTCATAATCGTGCGAAGAAGTACCTGTGTCATCAGCTATGATCTTTGAGTCAAGGATAAGATTTGATTCAATGAAGTAATCTGAACATTGTTTTTCTGTCAAACTTTTGAACTAACAAATTAAACCTTTTCACTCTTAAGGATATTACATAGTAAACAACACAATTGTTTTCCCCTCATTAATTACAATTTTTCTTACCTTGAGAGTAAGCCTTTTCATAAACTTGCTTTGGATGTAGTTTTGGTGAACTTGGGCTTTAATAATGGAATTCCTGGGTTCTTGTTTCTCGCTCTGGCAGGCCCTCTGGTTGCACTTTCTGAGAGAGCGTGGCTGCCGATGGGGACACTCTCTGCTGGGCCTCTCTTCAATCCGCCCATTTGCCAGGGTCTGGTGGCATTTCATTTCACGCTGTTTCACTCCCCCATCACATGGTGCTGAACACTAAAATTCATTAAATATTTATAAGGATTAAAGTGATAGACAAGAATGGCAACAAAATGCAAATTTAACAGACTGCCATGCCATCAAAATGCTATACTATGCAATCACATTTTTTTCTTAATATTCTTAGGCTTTTAATAGAAATAATGATTTAAAAACTACCTGTAGTTTATAAATGTTTTGCTATACAAGTATTATTTATTTTTATTTATTTATTTATATACAAGAAGGTACATTGGGTTAGAGAGAATACATAGTATAGTATTTACAATCTTGTAAAGCCACTAGTACGCGCAGCGTTTCGGGCAGGAACGGTTTCGGTTTCGGGCATTATACCTGTAATCTTATTTCTGCAGGAAGCTTTCTAAGCACCCACTGCTTGTTGTTTGAGACCTGGCATCTAAATATTTTACTAATTACAAGGAATAAAAGGGAAATCTTAAGTCTTTTGTATATTACTGTAAGAAAGGAATGAAGTTAAAAAAAAAAAAAACAGAAATGCTCTCTGTAAGCCAGTCTTACCTTCGACCATCGGCCTGGAACCCACTCTGGTGGACAATCCCTGAAGTTGCAGTGTTGCTGTGTACGATGTGGTGGTTGTGGGCAGAGTCTGTCGGGCACTTCTACAGTATTGGTCCCTCCTCGAGTCACTTCGTGGATACACTTCACCTCTCGTGTCTAAATAACAAAGGAACTCTCAAATTAGAAACTCTTACCCGAGTTTACCTGGTAATTCCCATTCAACACAGTAATGACTTGGAATATAACTCGGCTACTGTTATCTACCATAAAGAACAACCAGAAGGTCCTGGTTCGATTCCCTAGGCAGAACAGAGACATCTGGGCATGTTTCCTTTCACCTGATGCTTCTGTTCACCTAAGAGTAAATAGGTACCCGGGAGTTAGGCAACTGTTGCATCCTGGGAATTGTCAGTAGCTAGCCTAGACAGACCTCATTAAGCCTAACAAGCCTCCTGTTTTAAACAAAGGGAAATCATTCTTTTGTACCATTTACATATACAAAACACTTACCAAAAAAACAGAATTACAATTGTATTTAAAAAGATATTGAACATGATACAATGGGTAATTTTGTCACCACAGTAGCCTAGGATGTGCTACTACAATCTTACTATCAGCACTTTACACTCTTAAACATATAGTATAACTCAAATATAATTTTTCATTGTCATCACCTTGCCCACTCACTGAGTGAGCAGGTTCAAATTTACAGGCACAGTTTGCCTGTAAATCTATACATGGTAATCACCCATTTGCTGTTGCTAAACGTTCAATGGTTCCTAATATGGCTGCCCTGCACCTTCAGACAATGAATGGTGATGTGCAAGACATGGTCCTCATTTTTCTACCAAGGCCCTAGAAGGAAAGTGAGCGACTCAGGAGTTTTTTCAAAATGGGGGATGGTTACTGGAGGCCTGAGAAAGCAAGTGTGAACCCCATATATGTGTGCAAGTTGCAAATTTTTTAAGATAGGCCTAAAACAACCCTCTACTGTGGTACATAGTTTAAGGGTTAAAGTGCTGTAATAATTAAAACCATACAAGAACTTCAACATCTATTTAATGAAGTGTTGACCAAACCACACACTAGAAATCGAAGATGACGACGTTTCTATTTAATGAATTTTCAAGAAACACACCCGTGTCGTACAAAAAATAAATTATTACCTGTATTCCTCCACCACATGGCTTGCTGCATTCTCCAAATTCAGAAATATTCCATCGTGGAGGACAAGGCTGGTCATTGCAGGTGCGTGTAATGATGTCTGGCCGCACCTGGGTGCTACACAGCTGTGCTATTACCGGTTTTCTGTCCGAGGTCCTGATACACGTTACCATAGACTCTTGTACTCCACCTGTAGTTGTAAAATTCTCAATAAAGCACTTCCATCTTCATAATCCACATACAGCTTCAAATTAGAAAAAAAAGTTAGAAAAAAAATCTAAAATCAAGTTAAATGGGAGACTTTTTTTACATCATTTAATAAGAAATAGCATTACATTCAGAGATACAGTATGAATCCTTGTTACTATGATCTTGTATTTCAGAGATTCTGAGATTCAAGGCGTCCTTACCAAGGCATGAAGCACTGCAGGACCCAAAGCCTAGGGTGGTCCACTGGTAGACTTGGCCATCGTTGGACTCCTCATCAATCTGATAAGACCCAGGATATTCTCCCTCACCTCCACCCATGTCAATTTCTATAGAGTTCATCTCCGAGTGTTCAGATTCTAAATGAGGCTTTCTATGGGGCACCTCATATGATTCATATTGGTTATTGACACCAATTTCACTAGCATATAGATGTAGGGGATCACTGGGAGCACGCAGATCAATAGGTGTCTCATAGGAGTGGAGGCCAGGACGTGGTTCATTATATGCTTGTGCCTTCGGCACCGACAAATCTAAATCCTGTCCTAACTCCTTGCTTCTACCCGAGGCTGCATCTTCATCCACTAGCCTTGGTAGAAAGGGCGTCTCATGAATTTTGCGGTCATTATTCGACTCATCTTCATGGGCATCTTCCAGACTCACAATGGGATGCTCCTGCGCAGCATCACTGACCTCACCACCACGATAATCGTGCCTGAAATCAAATTTTTTATAATTTCTCAAGTCCATTCTTTATGATAATGATGTAACATTCTAAATACAGTACTGTATTATGAAAAATTTGACTTCAACAAAATTATAATTAAGCTCTCATACCAGGAACTTTTGAGGGCCACAGTACTAACACTGCAAACCAGAAATAGGGCTGATTTCATAAGAGACCGTTAAAATACCGAACAAGTTGGAGGATATTAATTGAGACCAATTCTTTAAAAGGCCATATGTAAAGCACGCAAGGGGGGTAACAACTTCAAGCTCAAAAAGCCAAAATGTAAGAACACTGGACAGAAAACGGGAGATGCATTTTCACCCATAAAGTTATAAACCCATAGAACAGCATACTCGCCAAAGTTGTAAATGCCGAAACATTTTTAAATTCTAAAATTGTAAAATTCAGCTCAAGATAGGTGGGCAAGGATACAGAGTAAAGGAACGATGCACAGCTACTTAAACTATCCTGACCAAATGCCAACATGCAAGAAGCAAGTCTTCTTGTATGTTGACTGTACTCATCACTGTACCCCCCATCACTGTACCAACAAGTCAAGATAGATGGGCAAGGATACAGAGTAAAGGAACGATGCACAGCTACTTAAACTATCCTGACCAATGGGGTTAAGTCAGAGTGGGAAAATGTTGTAAGTGGAGTGCCTCAAGGCTCTGTCTTGGGACCTCTGTTGTTTATAATATATATAAATGATTTAGATTCAGGTTTGAGTAGCAACATTTGCAAATTTGCTGATACAAAAATCGGTAGGGAAATTAACACGGAAGACGACTCATTATGACTTCAAGTTGATCTAAATAGGGTTTTGAAATGGTCAAAAGATTGGCAGATGCAGTTTAATGCTGATAAATGTAAAGTTCTGAGGCTAGGTAATGATGATAGTTACAAGATACGAGCTAGATGATTTTGAGATTGCGAAGTCTGATTGCAAAAGGGATCTGGAAGTTATGATTAGTAAGAATTTAAAACCAAAGGATCAATGCATGAATGTTCGTAATAAAGCAAATAGGACACTGGGATTTATTAATCGAAGCGTTAGTAACAAGACACCTGGTGGTGTTCTTCAGCTATATCTTGCTCTGGTTAGGCCCCATTTAGATTATGCAGTTCAGTTTTGGTCGCCGTACTATAGAATGGATATAAAGTCACTTGAATGTGTCCAGCATAGGATGACAAAGTTAATTCCCCAAATTAGAAATCTTTCATATGAAGAAAGATTAACAAAGCTTAAATTGCATTCACTGGAAAGGCGAAGAGTTAGGGGTGACATGATAGAGGTTTACAAGTGGATGAATGGACATAAGGGGAGATATTAATAGGGTATTAAAAGTACCAACACAAGACAGAACATGAAACAATGGGTATAAATTGGTTAAGTTTAGATTTAGGAAATACTTGGATAAATACTGGTTCGGTAACAGGGTAGTTGATTTGTGGAACCAATTACCGCGTAACATGGTGAAGGGAGGTACAACCCCTCGATTGTTTCAAACGAGGGTTGTACATGCATATGAGTGGGATTGGGTGGTTATAAATAGGAGCTGCCTTGTGTGGGCCAATAGGCCTTCTGCAGTTACCTTGTTCTTATGTTCTTATGTATCCAGTGGGCAGCGGTGGATAGGTTACAATCACTTAGTTACTACCTACAGTTAGCAAACTGGGGATATTTGACTAAAATTTCTGGTAGCAGATCATTTTGAATGAAATATTTACACATTGTTGGAACATTGGTTATAGAATAACCAGGACAAATGCCACTGTAATTTTTATATACAGTATATGTATTTTTGTGTAGTAGTAGGCATCCATCAGTCTCAGGAGACTATACCTGGTTGATACCTGGTTGATGGGGTTCTGGGAGTTCTTCTACTCCCCAAGCCCGGCCCGAGGCCAGCCTTGACTTGTGAGAGTTTGGTCCACCAGGCTCTCACAAGTCAAGCCTGGCCTCGGGCCGGGCTTGGGGAGTATAAGAACTCCCAGAACCCCATCAACCAGGTATCAACCAGGTATAGTCTTCTGACCCAGCACAACTATGGAGTTGTGCTCTGGTTCTCGGTCTGGGATGGCCTCTCCAGGGAACAAAACCAGGGTAGATCGATACAGGGGAGAAGCTGTCACCCATGTAGCAGTCCCCTCCCTCTCCACGGCGCCGAAAATCTCCAATGGAAAGGCAAACGCCAATTGGTTCCAGCACCATTGGAGGAACTGTCAGAACAAGGTTGAAGGCAACAGCGAACTGCCCTAAGGGCTCTAGAGTTTACCTCGATGTTGATAAAATAAATCACAGGGACTTCAAACCCAGTGACTGCTGTGGTCGGGGCAGGAGAAGAACCACCCCAGTAAGGGCAAGAACCACCCCAGTAAGGGCAAGAACCACCCCCAGTAAGGGCAAGAACCACACCCCCAGTAAGGGCAAGAACCACACCCCCAGTAAGGGCAAGAACCACACCCCCAGTAAGGGCAAGAACCACCCCAGTAAGGGCAAGAACCACCCCAGTAAGGGCAAGAACCACCCCAGTAAGGGCAAGAACCACCCCAGTAAGGACAAGAACCACACCCCAGTAAGGGCAAGAACCACACCCCAGTAAGGACAAGAACAACCCCAGTAAGGACAAGAACCACCCCAGTAAGGGCAAGAACCACACCCCAGTAAGGGCAAGAACCACCCCCAGTAAGGACAAGAACAACCCCAGTAAGGACAAGAACCACCCCCAGTAAGGGCAAGAACCACACCCCAGTAAGGGCAAGAACCACCCCCAGTAAGGACAAGAACAACCCCAGTAAGGACAAGAACCACCCCCAGTAAGGGCAAGAACAACCCCAGTAAGGACAAGAACCACCCCCAGTAAGGACAAGAACAACCCCAGTAAGGACAAGAACCACCCCAGTAAGGGCAAGAACCACACCCCAGTAAGGACAAGAACAACCCCAGTAAGGACAAGAACAACCCCAGTAAGGACAAGAACCACCCCCAGTAAGGGCAAGAACCACCCCCAGTAAGGGCAAGAACCACACCCCAGTAAGGGCAAGAACCACCCCCAGTAAGGGCAAGAACCACCCCAGTAAGGGCAAGAACCACACCCCAGTAAGGGCAAGAACCACCCCAGTAAGGGCAAGAACCACACCCCAGTAAGGGCAAGAACCACCCCAGTAAGGGCAAGAACCACACCCCAGTAAGGACAAGAACCACACCCCAGTAAGGGCAAGAACCACCCCCAGTAAGGGCAAGAACCACACCCCAGTAAGGGCAAGAACCACCCCCAGTAAGGGCAAGAACCACCCCAGTAAGGGCAAGAACCACACCCCAGTAAGGACAAGAACAACCCCAGTAAGGACAAGAACAACCCCAGTAAGGACAAGAACCACCCCCAGTAAGGACAAGAACCACCCCCAGTAAGGGCAAGAACCACCCCCAGTAAGGACAAGAACCACCCCCAGTAAGGGCAAGAACCACCCCCAGTAAGGACAAGAACAACCCCAGTAAGGGCAAGAACCACCCCAGTAAGGACAAGAACCACCCCAGTAAGGACAAGAACAACCCCAGTAAGGACAAGAACCACACCCCAGTAAGGGCAAGAACCACCCCCAGTAAGGACAAGAACCACACCCCAGTAAGGACAAGAACAACCCCAGTAAGGACAAGAACAACCCCAGTAAGGGCAAGAACCACACCCCAGTAAGGACAAGAACAACCCCAGTAAGGGCAAGAACCACACCCCAGTAAGGGCAAGAACCACCCCCAGTAAGGACAAGAACAACCCCAGTAAGGACAAGAACCACCCCCAGTAAGGACAAGAACCACACCCAGTAAGGACAAGAACAACCCCAGTAAGGACAAGAACCACACCCCAGTAAGGACAAGAACAACCCCAGTAAGGACAAGAACAACCCCAGTAAGGACAAGAACCACCCCCAGTAAGGACAAGAACCACACCCCAGTAAGGACAAGAACAACCCCAGTAAGGACAAGAACCACACCCCAGTAAGGACAAGAACAACCCCAGTAAGGACAAGAACAACCCCAGTAAGGACAAGAACCACACCCCAGTAAGGACAAGAACAACCCCAGTAAGGGCAAGAACCACACCCCAGTAAGGGCAAGAACCACCCCCAGTAAGGGCAAGAACCACCCCAGTAAGGGCAAGAACCACACCCCAGTAAGGGCAAGAACCACCCCAGTAAGGGCAAGAACCACACCCCAGTAAGGGCAAGAACCACCCCAGTAAGGGCAAGAACCACACCCCAGTAAGGACAAGAACCACACCCCAGTAAGGGCAAGAACAACCCCCAGCCTCCTGAAGCAGAGCCTGGAGGGTCGCAGGAGCCCCAGGAGGTGGACTTCTGAGCCCCGCACCTACGGGTTCCAAACCAAGATCGTCACAGCCCCCTTTCACCCGGTCGGCTTCCTTCATGACTCAGCAGAAGAGTAATATATATTATTAATTACACCAATTATAATAATTATTATAATAATATCATTAATAAGAATTATTCTATTGTATATATATAATTATAGAGAAGTTTGATATACTAAATAAAATAATATAATAATTCCTGTTGTTGGGGGGCAGGAAGCCTGTGTAAATATATACTTTAGGCTTATCTGAATTTATCCGATAAGCCTAAAGTATACATTTATACAGGCTTCTTGTCCCCGTATCTGGAACTACTAAATTTCTCCAAGATGCAACCACGCAACAGTTGCCCAATTCTCGGATACTTATTTACTGCTAGGTGAGGGGTAACATGCCCAACCATTTCTGTCCCACCTGGGAATAGAACCCAGGGGCCAGATTCACGAAAGCATTTACGCAAGCACTTACGAAAGTGTACATCTTTCCTCAGTCTTTGACGGCTTTAGTTACATTTATTAAACAGTTTACAAGCAAGAAAACTTGCCAATCAACTGTTGTTATTGTTATAAACAGCCTCCTGGTGCTTCGGAGCTCATTAACTGTTTAATAATTGTAAACAAAGCCGCCAAAGATTGAGAAAAGATGTACAGGTTCGTAAGTGCTTGCGTAAGTACTTTCGTGAATCGCAGGAACCCCAAAGTATAAATATACATAGGCATCTAATCCCTAACAAAACGAATTATTAATTATTACAATTTCTTAATTATTTACTGTAGGAGCGCAAATTGTCAACACCTATACCAAATAGCACAGTGGGCTACACCCTCGGCTCACAACCAAGGCACCCAGGTTCAATTCCCCTGACTGGACACAGATGGTTGGGCTCATTTACTTTCCCCTGATGTGTTCAACTAGTAGTAAAATAGGTACTAGAGTGTTAGGCAACCATTGTGGGTTGCATCCTGGCAAAAGCCAGAAAGATGGTCTAGGCCTCTAGTGGGACCTCAATAATTAATTAAACAAGCTTTTTGTCCCTAAGGTGAACTATATATATGAAGCTTGAAGCCTTGTATTTATTTTTATTCACTCAAGGATACTTGCAGACATCTTCCTAGGCAGCCCAACGTTTCCTAATGAGCAACCAACCAGTGAGATGAGGATATACGGTGACATTTAGAAACCTCTGAACCACACAATGTACTTAAAGGTTGTGTAAAACACAGGTGAGCGTGTCGCGGCTTACAAACATAGAGGCAGAAGGCAGGGTTTGGTCTCTGGAGGCTTGGCCCCGGGGCACTGATCATCCGGAAGCACCGCCACTGTACGGGAGAACTCCAAGAAGATCTTGCAAGTGACAGTCCGGCGCCTCTGACCTTCTCCACACGACACGCTGCAGCTGCTCCAGTTGCCCATCATGTATCTGCAAAATGTATAGCTCAGTTTACCTTTAATGATGTCAATTTATTGGAGAAAATGTCTTGGAGAAAGAGGGAGATTAGTGGGTTCATTCTATTGGGTCCATAGAAAGGGAGGGTACCTTGGTTACCTTGAGGTTACCTTGAGGTGCTTCCGGGGCTTAGCGTCCCCGCGGCCCGGTCGTCGACCAGGCCTCCTAGTGTATGGCCAAACTGTCAATCCATCCTCCAGCCTAAGGAATAAGTCAACGTCTGATTTAGCTTTTACTAAGTTAGTGCAGTTTTTGACATATTCAGCAGAGATCTAACTTACAGGATGAATCTTATCTTCCATAAAGTACAATAAGATTTTTTTTTCTGAAATGTAAATAAATATAATATATTGTGAGGTGTTATATATATAGTTAGGTCTAGGCTAGGCTATGTGAGGTGTTTTGGTTACTGTGATTTACGGAATGTTTACACTACAGGCTGAAGGTGAACGAAGCACGCTTCGAACAAAAGCCTCGAACATGATCAGATGAAATATATCATAGAGGTAGCCTCAACGCCTCAAGACTCATCATAGAGGTATGACTCATCATCAAGACTCAAGACTATCATAGAGGTCGCCTCAAAGACATATGATGGCTTTCGGGTAAATTATGGGTTAGATCCATCGTGATAATGGCTTCCTAACACATCGCTTCCTACCGGTGATAATGGACACCACAGAAAACGTGAACACCTGACTAACAGCTACACGCTCATCCGTAATTTGTATATAAGTTCTTACATCGTCTAACTACAAGACACACTCAAGTTTTACCTATCAAATTGTACCTATCATAAAGTGGCAGCTATTAATAACAGTCTCCGTGGTGTAGTGGTAAGACACTCGCCTGGCGTTCCGCGAGCGCTATGTCATGGGTTCGTATCCTGGCCGGGGAGGATTTACTGGGCGCAATTCCTTAACTGTAGCCTCTGTTTAACGCAACAGTAAAATGTGTACTTGGATGAAAAAACGATTCTTCGCGGCGGGGATCGTATTCCAGGGACCATAGGATTAAGGACTTGCCCGAAACGCTACGCGTACTAGTGGCTCTACAAGAATGTAACAACTCTTGTATATATCTCAAAAAAAAAAAAAAAAAAAAAAAAAATAACCTTTTGGGGAACAGGAAGGAAATATGAGTGTGTGAGTGAGTGAGTGAGTGAGTGAGTGAGTGAGTGAGTGAGTGAGTGAGTGAGTGAGTGAGTGAGTGAGTGAGTGAGTGAGTGAGTGAGTGAGCGAGCGAGCGAGTGAGTGAGTGAGTGAGTGAGTGAGTGAGTGAGTGAGTGAGTGAGTGAGTGAGCGAGCGAGCGAGCGAGTGAGTGAGTGAGTGAGTGAGTGAGTGAGTGAGTGAGTGAGTGAGTGAGTGAGTGAGTGAGTGAGTGAGTGAGTGAGTGAGTGAGCGAGTGAGCGAGTGTATTCGCCTAGTTGTATTCACCTAGTTGTGCTTGCGGGGGTTGAGCTCTGCTCTTTCGGCCCGCCTCTCAACTGTCAATCAACTGTTTCTACTACTACTATTTTTTTCCACATCACACACACACACACACACACACATCCCAAGAAGCAGCCCGTGACAGCTGACTAACTCCCAGGTACCTATGTACTGCTTGGTAACAGGAGCATCAGGGTGAAAGAAACTCTGCCCATTGTTTCTCGCCGGCGCCGGGAATCGAACCCAGGACAGCAAGATCACGCGTCCAGCGTGCTGTCCAGTCAGCCACCGGCCCCCCAGAGTGTGTGAGGGAGAGAGAGAGAGAGAGAGAGAGAGAGAGAGAGAGAGAGAGAGAGAGAGAGAGAGAGAGAGAGAGAGAGAGAGAGAGAGAGAGAGAGAGAGAGAGAGAATTAAAGAAAACGGTTAAAGCCACTTTCAGAACGCCGTTTACGGGATGACTAAACACAACTGCCTTAGACAGAGCCACTTAAAAAGTAATGCGACTATCAACTGGAATATGCCATAGACGACTAAGAAAATCCTAGGATACAATATCCAGCCCCCTCCCCACACACACACACACTTATACATGTGAGTAATGATGGCTCCCGCGTGGAAGCTGAAGTCAATGGCTCTCAAGACAGCTACAGCCTGCGTCTGAGATGCTCTATATAACTGTTATGGAGGAGGTCTCGTGCTCTGCCGCAGAGATCAAATGTTCTCAGTGGAAGTAATGTTCAAATGGCATTGTAAAGGTCTGACTGGAGGAGACACGCTGGCCTGATCGATGTGTGTGTGTGTATACTCGTCTAGTTGTGCTTGCGGGGGTTGAGCTCTGGCTCTTTGGTCCCGCCTCTCAACCGTCAATCAACTGGTGTACAGGTTCCTGAGCCTACTGGGTTCTGTTATATCTACATTTGAAATTGTGTATGGAGTCAGCCTCCACCACATTACTTCCTAATGCATTCCATTTGTCAACCACTCTTTAGTTTAGTTCATTTATTATGCACCCCATACCCATCTTGTGGGCGGTAGTGGAAAGGGTTACAGAGGCACATAATGGGCTCAGGGACTGAATCCCACAATTCATTTAGCTAAGCAAGTTACAATCTTGATGAGCTAGTTACAAATTCAATATAAGTCATCACATCAACAATGGGTTCGAGATCGACCTCAAGTACAGGTTCTAAATTAAGCAACTGACATATGTGGAGAGCTAGTGTCACAATTGATATGTTTGTCCTGCACACCGCCCCCCATCCAGTGGGCAGCGGTGGATAGGTTACAATCACTTAGTTACTACCTACAGTTAGCAAACTGGGGATATTTGGCTAAAATTTCTGGTAGCAGATCATTTTGAATGAAATATTGACACATCGCTGGAACATTTGTTATAGAATTGTCACTAAATTCACGTATCTTTTCGCACTCCATCACATAGTGACGGAGGGTGTGCGAATAATTTTGTTGACACAGTTTACATTTGGTCAGGTCTACATCAGCAGATAATGAGAATTCCCAGAGATACTTGTAACCGAGTCTAAGCCGAGCAGTAGTAACATCTAGAAGTTTGCTGGTTTTATTGGATGATCCATAGATGTGTGGCTCCTCTTGCATGATAGTATAATGATAGATGGAATTACTGGTGTCAATTTCACTTTGCCTCAGATCTACAAGATCTTGTTGAAGTTCTCGGTGTACTGCTGCTCTCAGATTGCTCATTGACAATCCAAGGTTACACTCAACGGCTCCTTTAAAGGCTGATTCTTTGGCTAACTTATCAGCTCTATCATGCATTCGGAGGCCAACATGAGATGGAGACCACATGAAATGGACTCTGTTACCATCCTTAATAATTTTGTTGTATTTGTGTCTAGCTTCGGACACAAGCATGTTACAGTTATGTCTTAAAGAGTTGAGAACATTTAAGGATGATAAGGAGTCACTTACAATTAATGTATCAAGTTTGGAGACTTGTACACATTTCAGTGCAAGGATCAAGGCAAATAGTTCAGTCTGAAGGGTAGAGGCCCAGTTGTTTATACGGACTCCCCCACTCTCTGACACTAAAAAAGTTCTTTCTAATATCTCTGTGGCTCATTTGGGCACTCAGTTTCCACCTGTGTCCCCTTGTGCGTGTGCCCCTTGTGTTAAATAGCCTGTCTTTATCTACCCTGTCGATTCCCTTGAGAATTTTGAATGTGGTGATCATGTACCCCCTAACTCTTCTGTCTTCCAACGAAGTGAGGTTTAATTCCCGTAGTCTCTCCTCGTAGCTCATACCTCTCAGCTCGGGTACTAGTCTGGTGGCAAACCTTTGAACCTTTTCCAGTTTAGTGTGTGGTGTGTGTGTGTGTGTGTGTGTGTGTGTGTGTGTGTGTGTGTGTGTGTGTGTGTGTGTGTGTGTGTGTGTGTGTGTGTGTGTGTGTGTGTGTGTGTGTGGTGTGTGTGTGTGTGGTGTTGTGTGTGTGTGTGTGGTGTGTGTGTGTGTGTGTGTGTGTGTGTGTGTGTGTGTGTGTGTGTGTGTGTGTGTGTGTGTGTGTGTGTGTGTGTTTTTCACCTAGTTGTGCTGGCGGGAATTGATCTCTGCTCTTTCGACCCGCCTCTCAATTGTCAATCAACTGTTTCTACTACTACTATTTTTTTCTCCCACACCACACACACACATACACCTCAGGAAGCAGCCTTGACAGCTGACTAACTCCCAGGTACCTATTTACTGCTAGGTAACAGGGGACATAGGGTGAAAGAAACTCTGCCCATCGTTTCTCGCCGGCGCCCGGGATAGAACCCGGGATCACAGGATCACGTGCACAGCGTGCTGTCCGCTCGGCCACCGGTGTGTGTGTGTGTGTTTGTGAGAGAGAGGGAAAGAGAGAGAGAGAGAGAGAGAGAGAGAGAGAGAGAGAGAGAGAGAGAGAGAGAGAGAGAGAGAGAGAGAGAGAGAGAGAGAGAGAGAGAGAGAGAGAGAGAGAGAGAGAGAGAGAGACAGAGAGAGAGAGACAGAGAGAGAGAGAGAGAAAGAGGTGGGGGTGCAAGACTTTTTATCGGGCGAAGGAGGGATATAGGAACGAAGGAAGGAAGAGAGGCAGGACTGGAAGATAGATATGGATGATGGGAATAAGCCCGCCGCCAATGTCATTTGTCAGCCTCCCATCCCATCCAAACTAATCGGCACCCGGCCGGCAGCCCTGAAGACCAGGAACTCTCACCTAGAAAGTGGCGGGAGTTCCGCCCCGCCGTCAACACCCCAACATCGAAGTCCCGTCGCTTGAGCCGCGCTAAGCGTGCGTCACATGTTCAGTTTTCCTCTGAGACGTCTTCCAGTGAGGCGGGAGACGGTGGAAGGAGGTGGGGGAGAGAGTGGTAACCATATGGGGAGATGGGGGAGTGGATATGTCGGTGAGGTCAGGATGGTTGATGGTATATATTATATTCTGAGGCGGTCATAGCGACAAAGTAAGGATTCTCGTGTTCAGCAACTGAGGGCTAGGCTAGCGGTGTTTAGGATAGGTCATAGAGTAGGAAGGAGAGGCAGGGGGGACTGGGTGGAGGGATAGGGGGGGTAAAGGGGGGGATGGGGAGAGGAGCCAAGCCTGGCGCCAAGAGGCCGCAGGAAATGGTGCATCAGAGCCATCACGTCGCCATGGGAACCAGGCCTGTTGGGCCGGCGACGCCCGGCGCCCTCCAACACTGTCGCCACACCCTCCAACACTGTCGCCACACCCTCCAACACTGTCGCCACACCCTCCAACACTGTCGCCACACCCTCCAACACTGTCGCCACACCCTCCAACACTGTAGCCACACCCTCCAACACTGTCGCCACACCCTCCAACACTGTCCCCCCTCCCTCCAACACTGTCGCCAACACCCTCCAACACTGTCGCCACACCCTCCAACACTGTCGCCACACCCTGCCAACACTGTCCCCCCTCCCTCCCCCCCCCCTCCCGAACACTGCACCCCCCTACCCACCCAACACTACCCCCACCCCCCCCACTTTATTTTTATCCGCACTCTATAAAATTAAAAACACTAAAAGATAATTAGATCCATCACTACATAATGCTACTTTTGACCAAATAGTTAGTATAAGTAGTCACTTCAGCAGAACGAGGTCTCCAGACTGGACACATGAGACAGGACAGGATACATACTAATATGATGCAAAAATGTGTCTCACAGAATAGACCAATCCGTTAAAAAAAAAAAAAAAAAAACAGGACGTACTACCACAAATGAAAACACCGCAATAGTGACGTTTTACAACCAGCCTACAACTGGTTGTAAACTTTACAACCAGTTTACAACTTTGTAAACTCAGCCTCGGTGGGGTTGAGGCGGGTATATATGCTTGGGTTTCGAACGCGTTTCTGGTCAGACAAGACATGGTATATGCTTGGGTTTCGAACGCGTTTCTGGTCAGACAAGACATGGTATATGCTTGGGTTTCGAACGCGTTTCTGGTCAGACAAGACAGTCATGTTTACCATCTTTTTACGGGGTGGCTTAGCGTTTTCTCCTCGTGCGTCCCTGACCTTACAATGTATAGAGGTTCTGGGGTTAGACAATGTGTGTGGAATCGGAAACCTCAAAATTCCGTAAACGGGGCATTGAGTCTAAAAACAACATCGCAATGATGTAGAAATTCCCTTTCCCAAAGTAATTTAGTGATCAGGAAATTATGAGAGAGTAGAGAGAGAGAGAGAGAGAGATAGAGAGAGAGAGATAGAGAGAGAGGAGAGAGAGAGAAGATAGAGAGAGAGAAGAGAGAGAGAGAACAGAGAGAGAGAAGTAGAGAGAGAGAGATAGAGATAGAGAGAGAGAGAGAGAGAGAGAGAGAGAGAGAGAGAGGGAGAGAGAGAGAAGAGAGAGAGAGAGAGAAGAGAGAGAGAAAGAGAGAGAGAGACCCCTAGGGACATCAGGACCACACTGATAAGGTGAGTGAATATTATGAAGGATTTGTGCTCCGGTTACAATAGAGATGGGGGAGGGGAGGGTGAGAGTAAGGGGGGGGGGTTCTGGGGATGGGGGGGCAGTGATTTAGGGGAGGGGGGAATGAGGGGCTGGTGAAGAGAAGGGTGAGAGGGGAGAGAGGGAGTGAAGGCGAGAAAGACTGGGAAGGGCGGTTAAGAGGGCGGTTAAGAGGGAGGTAAGAGTGAGAGTGAGTGAGAGTGGGTGAGGACGCTGGGAGAAAGCGGGAAGAGGGGAGGGGAAGGGATGGTGAGGGGGGAAGCCCAGAGAAAAAGTCAAGCGAGAGTATAATTTGACTTCAGTCACCCTTGTTCTTTTCCCGAATCTAAACTTATCCCATCTACATCCATAGTTTAAGAGTTCTATATTGCTGCTGATATATTTAAAACCCTTTATTTATATATCCTCCCCTTATCATCCATGTATATCCGTCAGTATGGACCCTCAGCCTCGAGGAAGAGGATATACAGCATCCGAAGAAAGCCTTGTGTGGGGGGGCTCCTACCACACATCCCCCTTCCATGTGTATCTGTAATGGTTTGCATTTGGTTTCATTCGAGTCAATTAACGGATCCACATATGTAGTTTCCGTCACCTATTGACGCTAGCGCTCTCAAGAACTAATCGGGCCTTTCCTTATCTCTCTTTTATCACATATGCCGCTTACCTGCTTCTCTTTTTCTAAGATAAGGGGCAAATTAAGATGATCATCCGGTTGGTTAATTACTATACGTCTCACGTTTAATGGGTCATGTCTTGGCCCCAGAGATTGACTGAGAATATGGGTAGATGAGAGGTCGATAACATAATTATTTCGTCACATTAAATAAAGTAAATAATGAGAGAGAGAGAGAGAGAGAGAGAGAGAGAGAGAGAGAGAGAGAGAGAGAGAGAGAGAGAGAGAGAGAGAGAGAGAGAGAGAGAGAGAGAGAGAGAGACAGACAGACAGACAGACAGACAGACAGACAGACAGACAGACAGACAGACAGACAGACAGACAGACAGACATAACACTAGAGAAGAGGAGTACTCACGTTGGCTCTGATGGCACCTGGTGGTCGACAATCAGTGCCTGGGGACGAGGAATGAGAGGCGGTGCTGGGCCCTCCCCGCTGGCCAGGGCGTCCTGCTCTTCCGACCACCACGACGCTGTACCACCAGCAGGAGACAGAGATGAACACATTAGCGCCCGTCTACGACGCCTCCGTCACCACCCGACCATAGTTCACACCCCCCTCCCTTATCAACCCGTCCTCTCAATACACTGTCTAATGTTTTTACGGATAAAACCAATCCGTTAAAAAATGCGACGTCTTAAATCAAATTAAAACACGGTTATTCTGACGTTTTATGCATATACACTGCAAACTTGGATTCGAATAGTTTTCGAGAAATATCTTGACCTAGGTTGACCTTTGAACTTTAAATATAACTAGCCAGAACTTGGCTCGAACTTACGTGTGTAAGGCTGGTGGCGTGGGTGAGCGAGGGTCTTGGGCGGCGGACAGGCGACTCCCGTGCGACAGGGACGGGTGTCGGACGGACGGGTAGCACCCTGACAGAGACGGGAAGACAGGCCCTGGGCGTCGCGACACAGCACCACCCGCGTCTGTACCCCGTCACCACACGACACTGAACACTGTCCACACAACACAAGGACAAGCGTCAACACACACACCAAATGGAAACACATCGAGAAACATATTGTAAATAATGTAAAATGTTCAGAAACAATTGAGTGAGCTTCGGGTCTTTGTCACCTGGGGGAAAAAAGAAGACTGACGCTATGCGAATTATCGAGTGTTTTGTAAACAATTACTTGACATTAAGATTTAATTTTGACTTACCTGAAATCTCTGTTTTTGACAAATATTTTAGAGAGAGAGAGAGACAGAGAGAGACAGAGAGAGAGAGAGACAGAGAGAGAGAGAGAGAGAGAGAGAGAGAGAGAGAGAGAGGAGAGAGAGAGAGAGAGAGAGAGAGAGAGAGAGAGACAGACAGAGACAGAGAGACAGAGAGACAGAGAGAGAGAGAAAGAGACAGAGATTGTCCAGGTAACCGACCTGTACGACTGTCCGGTCGTACCGGGACCCCTCAAATCCTCGTGTGGGGGGTACCTACCTGGGACCATATACCGTCGTACCATCGCGGACAGTCGTACGTGTTACAGGGCTGACGATGGCGGGGCCTGGGAGGGGTGCAGTAGTGGTCAGCGACGCGGACTGCGCTCGTATTGCGCGGCTCTGCGCAGTACACTTCCCGCAGCTGGTAGCCGGATCCGCACGTGACGGAGCAGCTGCCCCAATCCCCAGTCTGCCAGCTGGTGGTGGAAGGGAAGGAGGTTAGGTAGTTATAGCACCTGGAAAGGATAACGGAACAGGAGCTGGAGTAGAGGGGGCGCGGCGGCGGCAGAGGAATAGTACCCAGCTACGACTTGGACCATCGGGAATCGAACGCAGAACTGCAAGATGCGAGCCCGACGTCGCCATCCTGACCAGTCCAAATAGCTAGGGATTAGTCGAGTGCTATAATCCCCCGGGGATTGCCAGAGGAGGGATTTTCAGTGGGGGATTACTGGCTCCTGCCTAAAGATTTTGTACCAAGAATTAAAAAAAATCAAAATATTTACAACATGTCATGTTTGGAATGTTTTATATTAAAACTTTTATATATCTACCTTTGTATAATGTATATTAATATCCGATCATGTATAATGTATACAAATGTCTTTCCAAGTCTAATGTATACTAAACAAATTATGTATATATATTGTTTACATAATAAGACATCAATGTGACACAACCAGATTAGTCTAACAGCGTCTGTTTTGCTAATTTAAGTTAAATTGACCCAGGTTGGATTAGGTTGACCCAGGTTGGATTAGGTTGACCCAGGTTGGATTAGGTTGACCCAGGTTGGATTAGATTGACCCAGATTGGGCTACATACAGTCATCATCTACAACCAATCGTGGATTAGCTGTCCGGCGTTTTCTAATGAAATGTTTATCGCGCCAAAACGACTTAAATTCACACGAATCATTTGTTATTATTATTTATAGAAAACGGGCTGACTCATCTAATACGCTGCACTTTTACAGAATCAACAAATTCATTACAAATGCGAAACGTATTATTTAACAATTAAATCACTGTAATACTGCCGTTTTCTATGTTATTGGTCTCGATTTGTTAGGTGGGTTGCTTGGGGTTCGTACGGTTCGAAGTGAGGCAAAACAGTTGCTTTCTTTACGTAGTGGCGAGAGGAAAGCCCGGACGAGATTAAATCTACGGTACCGCCCCGCCATATTTAACAACTAGCGCCTGGACATCTTGAGGTTATCTTGAGGTGATTTCGGGGCTTTTTAGTGTCCCCGCGGCCCGGTCCTCGACCAGGCCTCCACCCCCAGGAAGTAGCCCGTGACAGCTGACTAACACCCAGGTACCTATTGAGACATATTGATCAGCGCTGTACTGACTGGGTCTGTTCGCTTCTATACGTTCTTTAATACTTGGCTAGAACATACATATATACTCTCAGGCATCTTAGATAGACAGAGACAGACATACACACACACAGTGAGTACAAGTATACACACATACACGTTCGGCCGGTGTTAAGGGTGGGAGGGGGAGAGAGAGAAGGGAGAGAGTGAGAGGGGGGAGAGAGAGAGAGAGGGGAGAGAGGGAGAGGGGGAGAGAGAGAGGGGAGACAGAGAGAGGGGAGAGAGGGGGAGAGAGGGGAGAGAGAGGGGAGAGAGAGGGGAGACAGAGGGGAGACAGAGAGAGAGAGAGAGGAGACAGAGAGAGAGAGGGGAGAGACCATCAGCAAGTGATGAGGGCGGTGATTGCTGACTAGAGTGGTCACCTCACTGCCTCTTACCACCCGGAAATTAACCTCCAACTCTCACTCTCCTCATCTTTTACTCACCTACATTCTTCCTCACCCCTCTTACCCCTCACTCTCCCCCCCCCCAGTACTCCTCCTCCTCCTCCTGGCCTCTTCCCTCTTCACATAGCACAATTAGATTAGTACACACACACCCGTATTTACTCTCTCTCTCTCTCTCTCTCTCTCTCTCTCTCTCTCTCTCTCTCTCTCTCTCTCTCTCTCTCTCTCTCTCTCTCTCTCTCTCTCTCTCACTAGCCTCTTAGGAGACGAGGAATGTGGCGGCCTATTTAGGCCTTAGGCAGGACACGAGAAGATAAAATATAGACACAAGAAGAGCCAAAGACGGAAATAAAGGAAGTATATAGATGCAAGCATGAATGGAATGTAAAAAGAGTCAGCACGATAACATGTAGCATAAAAATGGAAGGAGAGAGAGAGAGAGAGAGAGAGAGAGAGAGAGAGAGAGAGAGAGAGAGAGAGAGAGAGAGAGAGAGAGAGAGAGAGAGAGAGAGAGAGACGAGAGAGAGAGAAGAGGAGAGAGAGAGACGAGAGAGAGAGAGAGACACACCAAACCAGGACATAAAGTTAGATTAAAAATGTGAAACTTTTTCCTCAACGATAAGACGCCGCCAGAGCTCCCTCGCTTCCTCATACTCTCCCTCCCTCCCTCCTCATACTCCTTCCTCATACTCCTTCCTCATACTCACAGCCTCTCAGAGTCCCTCATAAACTGACAGCCTTTCCTCATACTCACACTCCCCCCCCCTGTACATTATCACCCTCATACTCTACACTAAACACATGGCTATACACAGATCAGCTTGTGTATCTACTAACTCCTCCTACCAGTAGAATAACCGCCTCGCTTCTTGCAGGATCGGGGTTCGATCCCCAGTGGTCCAAGTGCTTGGGTCTCGCGCCTTCACTTCTAGATATATATTTGGTTCAAACTGACTTTGTGGTATGATGTAGTTACATCACCATTTTCACGTCATTCCAGATTTCACCTTTCATTCCCATTTTCTATTTCTCATTCTCATTTTCTACTTCTCACTCCCGTGTTCTACTTCTTATTCCCATTTTCTACTTCTCACTCCCGTGTTCTACTTCTTATTCCCATTTTCTACTTCTCACTCCCGTGTTCTACTTCGTATTCCCATTTTCTACTTCTCACTCCCATTTTCTACTTCTCATTCCCATTTTCTACTTCTCATTCCATGATAGCTACCTTGGGAACTATGGGTGGAGTCTGCCGCCACAGCTTGTCGGACGAGTAGTGTGGATAAGGATTTATTTGGCTGTACCCGTATTTGCAGAGTGGAGGGGGGAGGGGAGGGTACTTCCGGCTCCGGTGAATCCACTTTCAATTATTCGGTGTAGTCAGTTGGTGATGCCACTCAGTTCCATCCGCTTTAAGTCCCCGTGCATGGTGTCTGTTTCCACTACTACACTCTCGATGACTTTCATAATGTCTCTGGCTAATTTTTAATTTAATGTCGTCTCCTGGTCCACGTTTTTTCCATGTTAAACACGAGAAAACTAGTATTATTATTGCATAGAACACTGAGAACTAGTCATTTAGTAATACTAGCATATGAGTATTAGCTTGCCTAGACCCACACTGGCCGCGAAGCAGGGAAAAATGGATTGTTTTGCTAAGGGAACTGGGCAGAGCGGGACACATATACACAAGTCTGTCCTTCATCATTCTTCCGTTTTCTGTGCATCTATTCAAGCGCTAACTTAATGGTTTCTTGATTTGCAAGACGTGGTCGCAGGTGCTTGGAAGTATACTCTAAACTGTGTATACTTTACACTGAGTATACTTTAAACTGGGTATGGGTTAAACTGTGTATACTCCATCATTACACACATTACCTGTTAATTATTTCCTCTCTCTCTATCTCTCTCTGTCTCTCTCTCTCTCTCTCTCTCTCTCTCTCTCTCTCTCTCTCTCTCTCTCTCTCTCTCTCTCTCTCTCTCCTCTCTCTTCTTACACAATCCTTTACCCCGTAAAATCATCATTTCGTTGTCTGTTACACTATTTATTAGTAGTGCAAAACCTGGTGTAGATCGAGATGAAAAAGCTGTTACCCATGCAGCAAGTCCCTCCCCTCCTCTCTCCACATTACTGAAATGTTCTACTGGAAAGGCAAACACCCCCACGGTTGGTTCCAGCGCCGTCGCAGGAGCTGCCAGAACGAGATTGAAGTCCGCAACGAATATATACATATGTATTATAGAGTTTATTACTATCTTGGCCCCTGGCACTCACCTGGTAGGACAGGCGTCGTCATTACAGTTGAGTATAACAGGAATGGGCCTGGTGGAATGGTCGCAGAGCTCCTCTGACGTTCGCCTGGCGCTCGAGCGCTCCACACACACGGCTGATAGCATCTGATAGCCTGGCGTGAGATATGACAAGCGTAAGCACGTAGCTACCCACATGGGCACCCTCATAGCTACCCACATTGCTACCTACGTGGGCACCAACATAACTACCCACATGGGCACCCTCATAGCTACCCACATAGCTACCTACGTGGGCACCAACATAACTACCCACATGGGCACCCTCATAGCTACCCACATAGCTACCTACGTGGGCACCAACATAACTACCCACATGGGCACCCTCATAGCTACCCACATAGCTACCTACGTGGGCACCAACATAACTACCCACATGGCACCCTCATAGCTACCCACATAGCTACCTACGTGGGCACCAACATAACTACCCACATGGGCACCCTCAGAGCTACCCACATAGCTACCCACGTGGGCACCAACATAACTACCCACATGGGCACCCTCATAGCTACCCACATAGCTACCCACGTGGGCACCAGCATAACTACCCACGTGGGCACCCACATAGCTACCCACATAGCTACCCACATGGGCACCAACATAGCTACCCACAAAATTTGAAAAATCCACCACTCTACTATATCTATAAGTCTCTGGTTGAGAGACTTATAGTCTTCCTGTAAGTCTTCCTGTCCCCCCCTGTTGTCGGGGGGGGGGGAACAGGGAGCCTGTCAAGCTAGAGGAAAAGTGGCATGAGATGAAAGGAAACGTGCCCAAATGTTTCTCGTCATGCGCGGGAATCGAACCCGGGGGCCGCTCGGTGGTTGGTTGATGATATCAGTGCAGGACGAAACGTTTGGTCATGTTTCCTTTCACCTCATGCCTCTAGCATGAGGTGAAATGTGAATTCTAACAGTATATTACTTAACCTTAATTAAGTATAATATTCCCCCCATGAGGCTACCTAAGTATATTATTTCCCCCATGAGACTACTTAAGTATATTATTTCCCCTCATGAGGCTACCTAAGTATATTATTTCCCTCATGAGGCGATACAAATATATTATTTCCCCCCATGAGGCGATACAAGTATATTAATTCCCCCCATGAGGCTACCTAAGTATATTATTTCCCCCCATGAGGCTACCTAAGTATATTATTTCCCTCATGAGGCGATACAAATATATTATTTCCCCCCATGAGGCGATACAAGTATATTAATTCCCCCCATGAGGCTACCTAAGTATATTATTTCCCCCCATGAGGCTACCTAAGTATATTATTTCCCCCCATGAGGCTATCTAAGTATATTATTTCCCCCCCATGAGGCTACCTAAGTATATTATTTCCCCCATGAGGCTACCTAAGTATATTATTTCCCCCATGAGGCTACCTAAGTATATTATTTCCCCTCATGAGGCGATACAAGTATATTATTTCCCCCCCCCCCTGAGGCTACCTAAGTATATTATTTCCCCTCATGAGGCGATACAAGTATATTATTTCCCCCCATGAGGCTATACAAGTATATTATTTCCCCCCATGAGGCTACCTAAGTATATTATTTCCCCTCATGAGGCTACCTAAGTATATTATTTCCCCCCATGAGGCTACCTAAGTATATTATTTCCCCCATGAGGCTACCTAAGTATATTATTTCCCCCCATGAGGCTATCTAAGTATATTATTTCCCCCATGAGGCTACCTAAGTATATTATTTCCCCCCATGAGGCTACCTAAGTATATTATTTCCCCCCATGAGGCTATCTAAGTATATTATTTCCCCTCATGAGGCTATCTAAGTATATTATTTCCCCCCATGAGGCTACCTAAGTATATTATTTCCCCTCATGAGGCTACCTAAGTATATTATTTCCCCTCATGAGGCTACCTAAGTATATTATTTCCCCTCATGAGGCTACCTAAGTATATTATTTCCCCTCATGAGGCTACCTAAGTATATTATTTCCCCATGAGGCTACCTAAGTATATTATTTCCCTCATGAGGCTATACAAGTATATTATTTCCCTCATGAGGCTACCTAAGTATAATATTCCCCCCATGAGGCTACCTAAGTATATTATTTCCCCTCATGAGGCTATACAAGTATATTATTTCCCCCCATGAGGCTATCTAAGTATATTATTTCCCCCCATGAGGCTACCTAAGTATATTATTTCCCCCCATGAGGCTATACAAGTATATTATTTACAAGAAAGACCTTGAGAGCTCTCATGGGCCAAGGAAGAAACAGGAAGATACTCACCTCCACCACACGTAGCAGAGCAAGGACCATTGGCTCTCTTCTCCCAGTAGTAGGAGGGCTTGTTGCAAGAGGAGCCGTCTCCTCCACACACCCCACAATGGTCCTCCTTCATCTCCGAGCCCAGACGCAGGTCACAACCGACCTTCTGCAGGAGAAATGCTCATGTTAGGTCTGAAAACACCGCCATGGCGCGTTCTGAGTCACTGTACCTCTGTAAACACCTCCATGGTACTCCCTAAAACACTGTACCGCTGTAAACACCGCTATGGTATCCCCCTGAAGCAAAGTACCTCTGTAAACACCGCCATGGTACTCCCTAAAACACTGTACCTCTGTAAAACACCGCTATGGTATCCCCCTGAAGCACTGTACCTCTGTAAACACCGCCATGGTACTCCCTAAAACACTGTACCTCTGTAAAACACCGCTATGGTATCCCCCTGAAGCACTGTACCTCTGTAAACACCGCCATGGTACTCACTAAAACACTGTACCTCTGTAAAACACCGCTATGGTATCCCCTGAAGCACTGTACCTCTGTAAACACCGCCATGGTACTCACTAAAACACTGTACCTCTGTAAACACCGCTATGGTACTACCTAAAAACACTGTACCTCTATATACACCTATATATATCGTGGTACACTGTACCAATCCCCTACCAAAGAACAGTGGAAGGTGTATATATGTAAGCGCAGCATTACATATGCAATTGTATATATATGTTGCAGTATATACACATTTGTGTAGCAGCAGCAGCTCCATAATTCAATGGCCATATCTGTCATGATGAACACAATATCTGAACTATATTTACCCATTACTTACAAAGCAAATGAATATAACTCTTGACGCATTTGAATTCCTAACTCGCTAGGCTTTTTATTTCCTCCAAATACACAAGTTTCATAACATTATTATGTTGATTTAATTGTCTTTTTCGCATCCACTTTACTCCATCTTCATTACATTAGCAAAACTCTAGTTTAACAATCTTTGCTTTAAGGTCTTAACTATTTTCCCAAAATTGCAGGCGCGAGAATTTATTTGTAATGTATGATTTATTCTGTATTCCCAATGTTTTTAAACATACACACACACACACTGTATTTTATAAATTTACAGCAAGACAATTCATAGTAGATTATTATCTGTCTAACTGAAATCAACTGATTTAACCCAAACTATCCTATCTAAAACAATTCTATCCTACACTATCCTAACCTAATTTTCCTGAGCTGAAAAATTGTATCTTAACCTAAATAATCATATTCTAAACTATCCTATTCTGACTTATTAATTCTAACCTAAACTATCCTAATGTAAACTAGCTATCCTATCCTAACCTAAACTATCATATCCTAACCTAAACAAAATATCCCAAATTCTCCTATCCTAAGGTTTCCTATCCTAAGGTTTCCTATCCTAAGGTTTCCTATCCTAAAGTTTCCTATCCTAAGGTTTCCTATCCTAAAGTTTCCTATCCTAAGGTTTCCTATCCTAAAGTTTCCTATCCTAAAGTTTCCTATCCTAAGGTTTCCTATCCTAAGGTTTCCTATCCTAAAGTTTCCTATCCTAAGGTTTCCTATCCTAAAGTTTCCTATCCTAAGGTTTCCTATCCTAAAGTTTCCTATCCTAAGGTTTCCTATCCTAAAGTTTCCTATCCTAAGGTTTCCTATCCTAAAATCTCTTATCCTATCTTAAATTATCCTAACCTGACAAAATACTAAACAATAACTTCCCTTGACAAACAGAACCTGTATTGGCAACACTCGTGAGCCTCAACCAATCAGCGCCAAGATGCGGGCTGTCTCGTCCAATCAACGCCGATGATTTTTGCCATTGCAAGAGCACACACACAATTAAAAATCCATTATTTTTCCACCATTGTTTTTCCTCCACGTCGTTAGGCGCATAATTCATATCATTTACTGTCGAATGGTCTTTGAAATAATCTTAATGATGGGGGATATTTGGGTGAAAAACCATATATCTCATCTTGGCGCCATGTTAACAGGGAAAACCGTTTGGCAGAATTTCAAATTGATCCTCTTTTCCCACGAAGGAGAGAGAGGGAGAGAGAGAGAGAGAGAGAGAGGGAGGGAGTGGTGGTACTTACGTATCAGTGTCTATTGGCAAGTGAGGTTTAGCTCATGGGCCCCCATCTACTAGCCTGACTACCTCTTTTGCGTTATAATTGGAATACTGTGTCGTTGGAATTCTTGGTTCAATTTGCTCTCTTGAAGCTGAGGATTGAGATGGCTTCCACAACGGCTTGGTGTTGTCGAAGGAAGAGAGGGAAGGAGGAGAGAAAAGGGAAGCAGGAGAACGGATTGTACACAAAAATTAGAGAGATATATAGGAAGAAGAACAACATCGTGGCATGTCTACAGGTTTAAAAAAGCACCTACCAATTCTTTCCCTTGAAATGAATAGCAAAGATACCCGGGAA